TATACTCAGTTTTTTTATCCAGTTCACCTATGATTTTTTCCTATTCAGGTAGGTATGACTCTTATTTTTAATATTATTTTCGTTCAAGTATTACACTTTTTCCTTTAAACTGGTTATCAGCATAACGGAAAAACTGTACCCTGATTTCACGTGATAACAGTTTAATTTGTTGTTTAAAAATGAGTTGTAGTAATGTTTAATATAACAGTAATTAAGAGAGAGTGACTGGTCACCCAGCCGGCTTTCATGCCCAAGGAGGGACTAGAACTCACCGTCTCCTGGTTTCGTGCCAGCACCTGAATCACAAACACCAAACGTTTTCTACTGGTATTAAAAAAAAATTATTTTTTTTAAAAAAATAAAGGTTGCTTTTTAAAACTGACCTGGATTTATTGTTAGACTTTTGATTCCGCCTTAAATGACGAAAGTAAGGCTGACCCCCTGTAGGAACTTTATTTGACTTTTTTCTTTTCTGCAAAAAGAGACCATTCAAATCAGAAAGCAAAAAAATACCCAAAACACACCTGAATCCCATCCAGAGCTCTGCGCTTGCCTCTCCTGGGATCCAGGAATCGGCTGAGAGGGACGCCACAGAAGAGGCACCCTGAAGGGGCAAGCTGCGTATTCTCTTTCAGCTCTGCCAGTCTACTCTGTGTTTGCTAATCTCCTTCATCAAGACATTTCTGGAAGGGGGATCTCTTCCCCGTCTCTCTCTCTGCCTTTACCAGCAGCCCCCAAAAGCTTCCAAGCTTCAGCCCAGACCAGGAATGCCTCCACCTGCTAGACTTCTCTCCTTCAGGCCAGGGGTAAAATAATGGGGGAGGAGCAGTCAATCAAGCAAACAAAAAGCAGCCCCCCTCCAGGGGCAACTCACGGTCCCCTGATGATCCTCCAGGGAGAGGAGGCTTTCCAAAGCAAGGTCCTTCACACATATTCTTTGTGGGGGCGCCTTTCTAAAAAAGAAAAAAAGGCCCAGTTGACTTCTTATACAGTGATTCAACACATGTTTAAAAGAGAACTATTGCAATACTGAATACAAAACCAGCTCTCCTGCCTGCCTCCTGATTCTCTCTGAGGAAGGAAAAAGAGCAGCAGAAGAATTACTAGGCTGCCTTAATTAAAGCTGGGCTCTTCACTAGCAAGCACCTCGCCTTCCCGTAAGAACACACAGGGCTCCCCAAATACTTTGGAATTATTACCAAATGTTTTGCAAGGCAAGAACAACAGAACGAAGCAGATATGCAGCGGCCAAGATGAGCGAGCAGAGGGAGGTCCTGCAGAGCGCAGCCACTGTTCCCGCCCAATCCCCAATGCAAGACGGCTAAGTTAGTTATATTTATGGCATCACTTACGCTCTCCCGTTTTCAGACTGCAGGAATCTGGGTCGCATGTCTGGAACCCACCGGACAATCGTGTTTCCACAGGCTGGCTGGGAACCCAGTCTGTGCACCACAAACTCAGCGAGATCGGTCACCTGCATCTAGCACGGCCATGGGAAAAGGAACAGCTCTTTACTGCTTGGCAAAAGAAGAGCCGGGGATCCCAACAGGAACAAATGCTGGATTGTTCAAGGGTTAACAGTTCCAAGATCAGCTGTGGTTCCAGAAGGCACACAGGATTCTGCCTCTGGTTGCTCTCTAGGCTAACTGGTTAGCTGAGTGCCCCAGGAGACTGTTAATCAACAGTGAAAATAAGGTTTTGCTACTTGTCTACATTGTTTCACTAATGATTTAGAAGATTTCCGAGATAATAAGCTCTTCTTTACAAACAGCTATAGACTCACGAGGAAAATATTTATTTACTACAAGTAGTCTTTGCTCAATTACAATAACTGGGACTCGCAACTCCACTTCTAAATGATGCTGTCATAAAGCACATCATCACATGACTATGCCAACTTAAAATGGCAGTTCTGGCAGTTCCAGCAGCACAGAAGGGTGAAATATGCATCAGAACGCAGCATTGCAGGCAAATTCTGCCCACGGCCTGGAGTTTGACCCTGACGGGGCTCGAGGCTGAACCAGCCTTCCATTCTTCCAAGGTCGGTAAAATGAGGACCCAGATGGTTGGGGGCGATAGGCTGACTCTGTCAACCGCCCAGAGAGGGCTATATGGGACGGTGCTGTTGCTACCAACCCTCACCTTAGTGAACAGGACTCCCTGGGGGGCCACAATTGGCAAGGTTTCCTCTAATTTCATTGCAGGACATAGAGCGCCTAGCTGCAATACTGAACACAGGATGCAAGAAACTTGAAGCAGTTGGGCACTGAGTATGGTCTGGGTGGAGCCTTCTTCAAGGCCCAAGAAAGCATATCCCTCCCTTGCTCCCCCCCTTCCAAACAATCCATTGAATTCACTCGCCTTCTCAGGCTGTCTCAAGCAGGTGAAACTTATTGGTGGGAAGTGGAGAGTCTGAGATGCCATTCTGGAGTTCAGACCTGGGAAAGGATTCCTTTCTGAACTGAAATGCACACGAAGGAGACACACAGTGGAAGCCATGCAAAAGGCACGGAGCCTGCACAAGAATTCTGCCTTGTTTCTCTGTAGTTGCAGACGTGTGCAGAAACAGCCCGTCCTGTTCTATTGACTAGATGGGTGCTGTGAAAGGAAATCTCTCATAGGCTGGGGGGGGGGAGAGAGGGGGAGAAGGGGGAGGGGGAGGTGGTGGTAGCTTTCATACATAATGCTGTTCTATGCCTATCATCCCAGAAACACATGTAGAGGAAAACCAAATTTGCTGACCTCAATACCGAAATGGGGGGTATCCAACCATCATTCAGAGTAGAATTTGAAAAGCAATTTTTAGCTTCTTTGGAATTTGTCTTGGAGCTGGAACCAAAACTTCCAACACATTTAACCTTTTCTCTCTGGGGATAATGTAGGGGAAGGTCAACAATCTTCAGGGTTGGCAGTTTGCCTGAAACAAGGAGAAAGCTAGGAAGACTTTGAAAAAAAACCAAAAAAAAACCAAACAGAGTGGGGTTTTTCTTTCATGGGCATTGGCTGATCTACTGTCAGCATAACAACAATGAATCCAACGCCACATTTGCTTATTGATATAACAGTAAAGAGAAATGAGATTTCCATTTCATTCTTAATCTTTTCCATTCACATATCTTAAAGTATATTATTTAATATAATTATATCAAAAGATGATGTTAGGAACACCTTACATTAAGAGTATCCATCTTAAGAAAATCTCCCCAAAATGTTTGAAATACAGATTGACCGCTGCCCAAATGAAAATATTAATTTTCATTTGGGCAGCAGTCAATCTGTATTTCAAACTGTTAATAACCTGCTTGTTCCAATTAAGCCTTTGTGGAATGGTTTTTAGTCAACACCGGCTATGAAACCTAGTGCGCTACTATGGCCAGAGCTAGATTTAGGAGTATAACAATGGTCTGACAGCTGGATCAGCAAATTTCTAGCAGGTTGGACACATGATAAAGCATGTGTTGCAACATATTTTTGTACAAACTTTTTGTTTATGTTAGGGTTATGTTCCCCAAAACCTCAAGTCAAACAAATTTGCCTAAAGCGAAATGCCAGACCTGTGGAAAAAATGCCAGCCATATCACCCACAGGTATATTTATGCTTACTTCAGTCCCCCTTTTATACAGCTCTTTCTTATTCCATGGTCAGGAATGGAACCAAATGTCTATCAGTCAACTTTAGTGACCTGGCACCTGATTTCTACAGAGCGCTTCTTACCTTCAAATGCTGGGGAATCTTTTCCAGGAATGATTATGTTCTTCAGCAAAATGTGAGGATGTCCACTTTCGATTCTCCGCATAGACTCCCAGCAGGGTGGATGCTGACAAGCGATCATATTGCAAATGGTTTCATCCCATTGACCACCTATATTGATTGTCCCCATTGCTGTCAGCAACTTTCTGCAATGTGGTGCAAAGGACAAAACAAAGTGAAATAACTGCTCCAAAGTGGCAGATTATGAGATTAGTGTTCAGAAATTCCAATATCTTTTTGAAAATTGCTTTTCCCTTCCAAATATAATCCAATGTTGACTGACTGCTCACAAAGTTCATTTTGTGCTTTGAGGATGCTCAGCTGGCATCTCTCTCTGCAAGGCTACTGCAGAGGCAGCAAAAAAGGGGGTTTTCACTTTGAGAGCGGGCAACTAAATTTCATTTTTGATGTGTGCCGTTGTGCCCACAATAAAAAAAAATGACAATAAAGGTTATCTTATCTTTGTTTTGATCGGACCTCTTGGATGACCCTTGCAGCGGGCGCCTTTTTAACTGTGATAGGAAAGGCAGCACCAGGATATGAAGAGCCGCGGTAGCTTCTTAGACCCTGACCTAAATTATTGCACGTGTTGTCCAAGCACACATGGGGGGGGGGAACACGCTTCCCCTTTAGCTTCTTGGAAGAAGCCTCCTTCTTAGTGATAATTATCACAATTATTATTGTTGTGGCCATGGTCCCGGTGGAGGACCAGGCTACAAACCGAGAAGGCTGAGTTATCCTTTCGCCTCCGGGACAAAACCAGCCTGGGAATCTTGGGCCAGTCACTCTCCCTCAGCCCCAGGAAGGCGGCAAGGGCAACCAATTCCGAAAAACCTGGCCAAGAAACCCGCAGGGACGTGCCCGGGACTGAAGAAAATAAGGGAGTTCGAGGGCTGGGGGAAACGCCTAGGCCCTCCGCGCCGACCCCCTGCCCAGAAGGCAGGCGTGGGGCCCCTTCCCGCGACGCCAGCCCACCTGCCGGCCCACCTGCCTCCGGTAAACTAGGCGCCGTCGTTAGGCAACGCGAAGCTGCCTTCATTTCCCAGGGTGCACTGCGCCGGAAAGAGGGCACAGAGAGAGAGAGAGAGAGAGAGAGCGACCCCTTGCGCTTCGATGGCCCCGCAAATGGCGTCTCACCCGTCCGGTTCCTTTCCTACTGCAGAGCCATTGTGTGTGGGGGAGGGCAAGCCAACCCAGCCCCGCAAATGGTTCCTCCCTCCCTCCCTCCGAGCGCGGTGCATGCTGGGCGAGGGGGCGCCGGCCACCGGTCTGGCTCCGCGCGACTTTCGAGCTCTCCGGCGGTGAGCGGCGGGGCGGGCCGGGCCGGGCCGGGCCAGGGGGGGGAGCCGCTCGGCCTTCCGCTTCAGATCGCCCCCCCTGCCCCGATCCTGGCCCGGGGAGGGCTGCCCGGGGAGAGCGGGGTGCGGGGCGGGTGCCGAGGGGAGACGGGGCGGCCGTTCACGCTCCCCGGGCGCAGGCCGCTCTTTTCACCGGCCGCCCTCGCTCCCTGCAGGCGCGCAGGATGGCTGAGCGGCCGGAGGACCTGAACCTGCCCAACGCGGTCGTCACGCGGATCATCAAGGAGGCGGTGAGCGAGGGGGGCCCGGGGGCGGCCCGGGGAGGGGGAGGGGAGGGGAGGGCGGAGGCCGGCGCGCCTCTGCCTGGCGGGGTTGGCCGGCCTTTCACCCGGCCCGGTTTCCTCCCCGCTCCCGCCGCTCAGCTCCCGGACGGCGTGAACGTCTCCAAAGAAGCGCGCAGCGCCATCTCCCGCGCCGCCAGCGTCTTCGTGCTGTACGCCACCTCGTGGTGAGTCCGAGGCCTCGGGCGGGCGGGCGAAGCCCCGTGGCCCTTCGGGGGCCCCCTTCGTCGGGTGCCGCCTCCTCCTCCTCTTCCTCCTTCCCGGGGAGCCGTCGCGCGTTTGCCGCAGAGTGAAGAGGGAGGCGCTCCCGTAAGGAGACTTGCGGGAAGCACTTTGGTTGGCGAGGGCCGCTTCTTCGATCCTCCGTTCATTCTGTGCAGTGGAGAGTTCCAGCTTGGCCTGAAAGCGTGGGAACCGCCTAGCTCGGCTTGTCCGATTTCCTTTCATCTAGTTTACCAAAACATAGGTGGAAAACTTTCACGTATAACGGGGGATGCTTATCTGCTTTTGTCTTTTTAAATTAGTGCCAACAACTTCGCAAGGAAGGGGAAGAGGAAGACGCTGAATGCCGGAGATGTTATTTCTGCTATGGAAGAAATGGAATTCCAGCGATTCGTGGGACCGCTAAGGGAATCCCTAGAAGGCAAGTGCGCCTGGTTGCCTTTTCATCTGTGGCCCTCTTTGGCCTCCTGCACTCTCCACCTGACTCTCCTCCCTTCGCTTCATTTGCTTCTTTAAAGTAAAACTTAAGTGCTCCAACACAGCACCCATCCGTCTCCTGCTTTGGCATACAACAGTTTGTTTAACGCTATGTGTTTTGGTTGGTCTTCTAGCTTACAGGAATGAGCAGAAGGGCAAAAGGGGAACATCAGAGCTCAAGAAAAAAGACAGAGAGAAGAAGGAAGATGCTGAAGACCCTGACAAGAATCGGGAAGAAGAAAATGAGGAGGGAGAGAGGATGGAGGAGGAAGAGGAGGAGGAGGAAACGCAGCAGCAAAATGAGGTGGAGGAGGAGGAGGAAGAGGAAGAGCAGCGGCAAAATGAAGAGGAAGAAAGGGAGAGCTGAGTTGCGGGGGGGGGGGGGGGGGGGGGGGGGGGGGGGGGGGGGAGAAGGGGGCGGCAGTGAAGGGAGAAAGCCAGTGGAAGGAAACACAACTGTCTCCTTGTATGCTGAAAACGGGTCAGCTGGTTCTGGGGGCACCTCAGGGACACTCCTGCCTGCCTCCCCTCACCAGGTGGAAGGAATGACTGGCATGCAGAGGCTGGGGGGGGGCGGGAGAGGCGCTGCTTATCTCTCCTTGCGCTGCTGGTGATGCTGATTTTGGCTTAAAGAGAGTCGGACTTTCTCCACACCCTCAATGTGTATTTCTTCAGCGTTTAGTTGAATGGGGTTTAATTAAAAGTCATATTTGCAGAACTGCTTTCTCTCTTGACTGATTTATGCTCTGCTGAGCAGGAGAAATTTTATTTCTGGGCATTTTATTTTTGCCTATTTTGTTCTGATAAAAAATGGGCAGAGAAAGAAAAGTTGTTCCAGTTTGCTCCTGTTCCATTCACGCAACAAAAAGGACGAAAGTCTAGAAAATCCTGCCTTGCTGACTTCCGGATGCTTCCTCCCATCAGCAAATCTCTTTTCAGACAGTCCTTCCTGCTGGCCTTGCATTTGCAGTCCCCACTCCAGTTGTGGAGCAAAATATCCTTAAGCTAGCATAGGCACTTGAGGCTAAAAAGCAAGGCCTAGGGTACAATTTATATTTGCCATGTTGTCCAGAGGCAAAAGGAGCCCATTGCCCTCTTGAGAATCATTAAAAACAGCTGCTGGAGTCTTTTTTTTGGGGGGGGGGGGGCACCAGTCCAAATGCTTCAGCAGGCCGTCGCCTCTGATTCTGGAGTATTATCTGAGCCAAATTCACACCCATCTCTCCTCTGGGGCAGGAACCTCCTTGGCTCCCCAAAGTAAGAGTCACCCTTCACTCTCACACGCCAGAGTTCATGGACCCTGCAAGTGGAAGAAGTAGTATTGGGGGTCCCTAAGGCTAGTGGGGTCATCACCAATCCAGCTGGTCCTTCTGGGCTTTGGGTTTCCAGCTGTTCTGGCTGTAGAACTGGGAGAACCAGCGCCGGTGCCTCAGGATGGCGGCATCTTCCTTCACCAGCAGTGGCTTGGAGAGGAACCTCTTGTTATTCCAGATCATCATGTCCCGCTCAAACTGGTTCAGGAGGAAGACAAAGGGTCAGGAGGCAACAAAAGAACAAAACCTTTTGCCTAATACATGGAACAATATAAGAAAAAGCATAAAATATAAGATACCCGCTGTGTTTTTGTTCAACCCTTGGGCAAGGAGAGGGTGTCTTCAATGAATCTTTCACCACAGGCTGTAATTTTGCTGTTTGCTGCTTTAAGCCATTTCATCTATTTTATTTACTGAGTTAATAATGTCCGTCACAGGGTCAGTGTTCCATTAGACGTCGTTGAACCCGGGGAGGGGGTACAAAACGTTTTCCCAGTTTAGGTGTAAAGATCAGATTTTACATCGACATCTTTATACCTTGTGTAAGTCAGAGACGTTTCCCTGCAACCTTCGGGTTAATAAAAACCCCACGTCTTAATGGATCTGGGAACAGTCGGGGGGGGGCAACAGCTGCACTCCCCTGTCCCTCGCTCAGCAGCCCTGAGGGGCCAAGAGGTCACACGGACTGAGTTTCCCCCAGGACCACCAGAGTGGCAGCTCCTCTCACCTGGACCCCCTCGGCCCATAGCACCAGCTTGGCAAGGAAGGATGGTATGTTGCGCGGGTAGTAGATCTGGTGGATCACATGCTGAAGAAGCGGCTCTAGAGGTGTGACGGTCTGAATGATCAGCCCCTTACCCAGGAAAGCGTGACTGAGGGCCATGATGACCAACCCAGGACCGACCTGAACAGCAGAAGACGCAACCATCCCAGTAAGAGTCCATTTTTTTCCCTTCAAATTGATTTCAGACCAGATACGGATTAAGCAAAAAACCCAACAAACCCAAAGTGATCATTACGCTGCCTTTCTCACTTTCTTGGGGAGAGGCAACCAACTCAGCATCACAGTAATCAATGCAGTCCTTGACTTGGGGCAAACGCTGGAAGGAGAGGAGCTCGTACCTGCCTGGCCGAAACATGCAGATCTAGGAAGGTGATGGGCTTGCCAAAGAGCAGCACGTGGTGGGTCAGAATCATGACCGAACAGTGTCCGTTGGGCTCCGGCTCGGGCTGCCACTCTGCCTGGGAAGCAAGCACTGCATTGACTGGAAACGCTCCTGCTTTGGCGCCAAAGCCTCGGCCAGCCCTGCTTAGAAGCAGCCCAAATGGGCAGTCCCCCCCCTGCCTTTCTTTACCCAGCATTACCCACGTTTACAGCAGGAGGAAACAGACACTTTGAGCCCAAAGGGGACCAAGATAAACTTCCCCTCCTCATACATGTTGCAAACAGTCCAGGTGGGGGCGGAGGGGATTGCCAAAAGGAGCTTTTTCCCTCCTGCGACCTCTGTTGACAACGAAGGTCTGATCTAGTGCTACCCACCACCGAATCTCTTCCAATAGGACAGAGGAGGGGGTCTCCACGCCTGTCCTCCTTCGCTTAGTAGCTAAGGCTTTTTGCAAGTGTTTAATGCTGGCCTTCCAAACATAGGAAGGTGCGCAGCTTTACCCAATCCTCCCTTGTGTTCATGTTTAAGTTGCAGCGCAGCCTCCATGACTTTCACAGAGGGAACCAGCCCACCAACATTTGGGACCAGTTGCTGGCTGCTGATCTCATGGCAGATGGCATTTCTGAAGCTGCCCCAGGCAAATCTACTCCTGCAGGGGTGCCTTACCTCCCAGGTGTGCCTGAAAAAGGCCCAGCAGTGGTTGTCTGTGAAGCGCAGGTCATTTCCACTCATGACTGAGGGACTATGGAGAAAGGAAAGGTGGGCTGCATCGGCGGCATTCTCTGGAATTTCCTGCCCGGGAGGGAAAAGAAACATTCGCCTACCAAGCCAGGGCCCTGCTTGGCAAGAGACAAAGCAGAAGCACGTCTTTCCCCAAGCACCAAAAGAGGCACTCAGACTGCAAAGCGATGGCCGATTCTAGCCGAGAACCAAGTGAGAAGGCCCATTTACAGCCGGCTGTTATTTCCAGCCAGTTGCTGTGTGAGGCCACCAAAGGTGGACGTCCCAACCCCAGAACCCCCTCTCTGCATTCCGCCACTTCTCCCACTCTGCCCTATCCTGAATCCCCAATACCCAGGTTCGGTTTGAAAAGGCACCACCGCTGCCCTTCCTCAGCGGTGCAAACTACCTCGATGTGCACGCTGACAAAGTGCTCCGTTCCAGCCCGGAAGGCCCAGCTGGGCGATGATGCCTCTTCCTGCTCGGCGACTTGCCATGCTGGGCTTGTGCTATCACAATGATACCACACCAGGATCATGTTGTTCACTTCACACGATGGCCAAACTTTGGTTGTTGCAAATTCAGGCACTAGAAGATATAGAGCCCGAGAAAGTAAGACAGGGAAGGGGGCCTGCTTATGGACTGTCAGATTTCCCATTATCAATGCATACAAACTAACGTCTCCCCTGGAAAGTCAAAATGAGAAGCTGGACGCTGCCTGCGCCCCCCCTCCTCCCCCCGAAGCAGACAAAGGCCCTCCGTGATGTTCAGGAAAACTCTTGGTTGCAACACCAGGGAAAGCTAAGCCAGCCACGTCCAGCCTGAACTCCCTGGGGCTTTTCCCTCAGCCCACACACCTTTTTTGGCATATGGGATCTTGGTGCAGCTCCCGTCCTTCCCAGAGAACATCCAGCCATGGAAGGGGCACTCGATGCAGCTGCCCACCACACGGCCACCGATTGCGAGGTTGGCCCCGAGGTGTGGGCAGTAAGCGTCCAGAACATACACGTTCCCATCCAAACCTCGAAACACGGCAAACTGTTCCCCTGTGTGTGTGAAGAGAATGATAAAATTAAGCTTTTCTCTCTTTGCTAGGAAGAACACAGCATCTGTTCCACAAGGCGGGTTAGAATCACACCTGTTTTACTAATCACTGAGATGGGCCTGCACATCCTTTACAAAATTCGCAGTAGGTACCAGCTTAGAGATGGTCCAGGGGTCCCAATTACTGCAGAAAAGGTTGGCAATGGCCCCTGCCCAGATTGGAGTTGACACTGCAAGGTGTGTGGCACAGAGCAGTTCTCCACCCTTCTCCAACCATCGCCCTCTAGAGGTGTGGATTGGGTCCCAGAAGTCTCCGGTAGCAGAGAAATTCTGGCTGTGGGCCCACCCATCTGCTTCGGGAGTTGTCGTGCTCTTGACAATGAGCGAGATTCTCAAAGAGACTCTTCAGCCAGAGCAAGCTCAGCTGTCCGTGAGTCCCAAAGAGGCTGGCAACCTGATACAAAGTGGGAAGGGTGTGACAGTTCCAGGACATTTAGCCCAGGTTGCCCTACCCACGGAAACACCTACTACTCTAGGGCCCAGGCAAAACCCAACAACAAGAATAAGCGGAGAGGCCCTTTGTTCTGTTTTGCCTCCAACCTGCTTTTCTTGTTCTGCTCCACGGGGGGGGGAAGGGGGGGGGATTGGAGAAAGAGACACAAGAGGTCGCTACACCAGTTCAGTGTCCTAGCGAAGATGCCAGCCTGGAAACCACTGTGAGGCCTGCCTTAGGCAGGAGAGCTGGCTGGGCGGCTTTGAGCCAGCCACTCTCTCTTGGCCCCACTCAGTTCACAGGGCTGTTCCTGTGGGCAAAACAGGAGGGGGAAGAAGCGCTCCTGTATTCACCACCTTGAGTTGTATATGAAAAAGAACAAAGGGCAGAATAAAAAAAAAATCACCCTGAGAACCTGTCAGCTCCTTTGCCTCTGGCCTTCTTTTTTACCAACCAGAAGAGGTGAAGGATCAAGAATTCTAAGTACTGTTTGCAAACATGGCTGATTAATTTCCAAAATCACATGAACTCTACCAACTGTCCTTTTCTGAGTCCCAAAGCATCTTTAACAACACTCGTGGAAGAACAATGTTGGGTTCTGCCTAGACAAATCAGTTTGTGGATTACATTTGAGAGCATGTAAAGCGATGGATCAGGAAACAACAGATTTCTGGATGGCTTTACTGTGGTAAGAGATAAAAACTGCAGGCCAATTTGAGCTATTGCAGAGAGGTTCGTTCTGGTGCGGGAAAGGAAGCTTTCAACACTTCAAAAGGTGCTTGCATTGTGTCATGGGAAGGGAGGACTATGACCCAGTTATGTCAAGTGGGGAAGGCCCCCGGCTAGAAACCAGGAGATGGTGAGATCTAGTGCTGCCTTAGCCACGAAAGCCGGCTGGGTGACCATGAGCCCATCCCTCTCTCTCAGCCAGACCACCTCAAAGGGTTGTTTTGTGGGAGGAAGGAGTATTAGGTATTTGCCACCTTGGATTATTTGCAAAGGCAGGATATATTATTATTAATCTTACATGTAAGCTCTTGCTCAAAAGAAGTAAATTAAAAAATTACAATATCTCTCAGAGCCCGCCTGTTGCCAAGAGGGATGTTATTAGGCAGGTGTTAAAGCGGCCTCAGGCACCAGAGAGTTTCTCCTCCTCTGACAGGCAGGTTAAAGCGAGTTGGAGAGGTGTTGGTGGGTGATTAAAAGATTTAGACTGGCTTGAACTGCTTCTAAGGTCGTAACTAAAAAACAGTCATAAGTCACTTTTTTCAGTGCCATTGTAACCTTGAACGGTCACTAAATGAACTGTTGTAAGTCAAGGACCACCTGTACTTTGGTGCAAAGGACATAGCCACCTTTACGAAGGAGCACAAAATAACTGAACCGCCTCCCGACAGAAGCCCAAAAGAGAGAGCACGTTAAAAAGGGGAGGGGTGACGTTTATGACAGCAGCCATGTACACAGGCCAGGCTCACTCCGCTCAAGTAAGCACATGTACAGAAGGTAGTGATTAGGATCTACCCCGAGTTTGGTGTTATCTGATAAAAGATCTAACTTTTTTTTAAAATGAATATAAACCGTAGTTATTATTAATTTGGCCTTGGGAAAGAATGCGGTCTTGTGTAAGCAGAAACTCTTCATCCACAATCCCACGTCTTGAGTGAACTCCCAAACGGGCACATTCCATCTCCATCTGAATTAAAACAGCGAAGAACCAGGATGGAGACAACTCATCCCGGAGAAACTCCATCTAGGTCGCTGGGGGTTGGCACACATTCAGTGGCACCCCACCAACCAGCTAAGCATTCACGTCCATGGACCCCCACGCGTTCAGAGTTCAGCCGCAGCCACCCTAGAGGCTGAAAAATATAGCTCAAGGACACAAATCATTTTTCCAAATCCGCAGAACATTAGTGACGGGAAGGAAAAAGTAAGATTTCTCAATTCGTCAGCTATGCCCAATTTATTACCATTTTGGCTTGCTGCACAGTGAGTTGGATGTTTAGCCTGGATTTGGTATTTTTATTCACTTATTGGTTCCTTCCTAAGAGTATTATTAGGTGGCAAATATACTGAATCTCCCTGCCTTCTATTCCGGGCCGAGAGCCCAGTGGACGGTCACCTGCCGATTTTCTCCCCATCTGCTGGTCTCTAGGCCAGCACCTTCCCTCCCGCACCCCGACAGGCACTTCTGGAGTGCCCCCCCCCCTTGTTTAAAAAGCCCAGCTGGACCAAGGCAGGAAGGCCGACAGGGCAGAGCAAGCGGGGGGGGGGAGAGTCAGTCTTGCCCATTAAGGGGTGCAGCTCCCCAATCCTCGGAGCTACCCTAGCCGGACAGTCGGGAGCTCTGCGTCTGCTCCGAGACCCCACCGGCTCCTGTCCCACGTTTCAGCTGGGCGGGAAAGGGTTTCCCCCGCCGTTTGGGCTACTCGAGGGGCGCTCGCTCCACCGCACGCCGGTCCGCGCCTGCCCGCCTCCCTCCCTCCCGCTTCCGAGCGCCGTCGGAGCGCCGAGCGACTCACCCAGAGCGGCCACGTTGCGCACCTCCCCGCGCGCCAGCTCGGCTGAGCCCAGGAGCCGGAACCAGCCGTTGGGGTAAGAGGGCAGCAGCTGGCCGGCGCGCCGGTTCTTGCGCATCCGGCCGGCGCTCTGCGCGGGGCTCCAGCCGGGCTCAGTCAGGTAGCCCACCTGGTCAAGCGAGCGAATCAGCCACTTGGGCCGCAGCGCCAGCCACGCCGCGCCGCCGCCGGCCGCGGCCACCAGCAGCAGGGGCGGCGGCAGCAGCAGCAGCAGCAAGAGCGGCGGCGGCAGGAGGAGGAGGAGGGCGGCGGCGGCGGCCCCAACGCCCACCAGGAGCGCCACCAGCCTCAGCCTCATCCTGGCTTGTCCGACTGCAGCGCGTCCTCGCGCCTCTTATAGCTCGGGCCGGGTCGGGGGCGGCCCGTCTCAGCCACTTCTGCCGGGGCCGGCCCATCCCAGGCGCACGCGGATGACCCCTCGAGCGCCTCCTCCCCGGCCCGGCCTCCTCGGTTGTCCCTCCGGCGCGAACCCGCAACCCGCAAGGAGTGGGCGGCTAAACGCGCCGGTGGAACTCTCCGCCACCGGCAGCTGTAGCAGAGCGCAGCCCAGGCCCTCTTGCAGCAGGGGCCCCGTCGAGCCGTCCAGCCAAACGAGGCCAGGAGCACACGGGGTGGCCGTCGGCGATCAACCCTCTTGTCGGGTCAAGGAAGGACTGGCAATGTCAGAAAAGGTGGCCCTGCCTTCTGTCAGTCACCGAAGGGGTCCCCTCTACACCCCCAATTTCTGCAGAGAAAGTTTCAGCGGCTAAGTTGGAGCTGCCCCTCCCCAGCCAGGTGGTCCAAGTATTAATCTGTAAACTATATATTCCCTGTTGCCGCCCGCCCCCCCCCCGCCTAGAGATAGGAGGGAGGAAGACGGTGGGGAGATGAAGGGAGAATGCCTGCCCCCCCCCCAAGGGGTCTCCCGCTTAGGAGAAGAGAGAACACCTCCCACCGAATCTGCCTGGGGCACAGACTCTCAGAGGGCCTCAGAGGACACAGACCACTAAGGCAGCCTCTGAGCAAGCTCTGCCCGCTGCAGACTCCTGCTTGCCCTGGCATAAGTGGGTGGGCGAAGCGACTCCATCTGGCATTTCAGCCCGGTCCTTTGCCCGCTTCCTCTGAGGAACTGCCTTGCTTCTCCGGGAGGTCCTGGGGCAGACAGAGGTTGCCTCCTTTGCTGAGGGGACCTGACTGCCCTCGTTTTTCCTGGCCCCCCTTTCAATGCAACAAGAGGTGTTGCTTGTGCCACGGACACCCCCCTCCCCCACGTTTGCTTTAGGGTTGTTATTGTTATTTTCCTTCCTGTTCTCAAAGCATATTTGGAAGATGTGGGATACGAACATAATGAAGTGTTTCTATAGCAACGTGCACTTTTTAAAGACGTCACCAGGAATGGTTTGCATTGCTGGATTCTGGGGCTGCTGGAGAGAGAAAAAAATTCAGTTCTTTTGTTCTGAACAAGGAGGGTCGGCTTAATCTTTATCGAGATTTGTGGGTGCCAAAGTGAAGATGTATATACAGTAGGAATTCATTCCGATCCGTCACTTTAGCAGCATTTGCCATTTTCTATATTGAATGCCTGCCTGCCTCTCTGCTTCTTCACAAAACCTTTAATTTGCTGGTGGCAATAAAAGCTGTTAAGAGGAAAGTGGTGCATTTTTTGAAGGCGTTTTAAATGAGAATAAATAAGGAACCAGCATTTGTTACCACCAGAAGCGAGAGGCTGTCCAGTTTAGCTGCTTCCACTAAGGAGGGAGAGGCTGCCCTCGTTTTGTTTGACAGCCACGGGATGGTTCCTAAGCAGCCACCCAGGAATAGCTCTGCTATTTGGAGAATTATGCAGTGGCTCTTGTAGGGATCAGCATCAGGAAAGTCCCATTGCACAGTCTGGAGGAGAGTGGCCAGGTAGAGCAACACTTGGACCACTGCCCGGTCTGTACTGGCCACCAGGGACAAAGACATTCCTGCCCAGCACTCTATCACTGCAGGGAAATCTCCTTCCCCCCCCTTAGCAGGGGGGCTTAGAGCCTCAAGGGGTTTCACAGTCCCCTCTCCTGGGAAAGGAAGGAGACCTACGTTGTCCACTTGGTTCCCAGCTCACATGTGCACATCTCCCCAAATTGCCCAGCTGTTCTGTCCAATGTGTTTCTCTCCCCTCCCCCCCTCAGACTGGTGAGCTGTCCACCTGTTTGCCATCCTCTTTGGCTTTACTAGATCCTCTCCCTTCCTCCACAGCCAGTCTATTCATCCCTCCTTCTTTTCTCCTCCCTCCACATCCCTCCTTCCTTCAGTTGGGCTGCACCCCCACCAGCTGAAGCATCTCCCTCTCGCCTAAAAACAGGTCACCTGCTTTCGGGACTGTTGGCTGGCGAAAGCCGAGAACCAGGGAGGTGTCCTTGGAGCTGGGGGGAGAGGGAAGCTGCAGAAAGGGAGGATGGACTTCCATCCTTGGGAGGGGAGAGGGGGGCTGCCTTAGGTGGCTCTTTCCTCGCAGAAGCCCCGAGGTGACCACCCACCCTCACTTCCTTTCTCTTCTATTCAGATTCGGGGGCGGCGCGGGGGGGGCTATCTTCCAGAAGCCGCTGGCGCGGAAAGTGGGGGTGGGGGATCCCTCAGGAGCTGGGGGTTTGACCGTGCGGGGGCTGGCTTTCCGGGGCCCCTCCCTCCCTCCCTCGCTCGCCCCCCTCGCCCCCGCCCCGAGTCGACGTGCCGCGGCTGCCGCAGTGGCAGGTTGGCGGAGCCGCCGGGCGCCTCTCCCGCGCGCCCGACCGCCCGACCGCCGAGGGGGGGATTCAGCACCGCGGAGAGCGGCTGGCCTGGAGCGCGGGGCGCCATGCGGCTGCTGCTGCTGGCCGTGCTGCTCTGGTTCTCGGTGGCCCGCGCGGGCTGCGAGCCCAAGATCATCAACATCGGCGCCGTGCTGAGCACCAAGAAGCACGAGCAGGTCTTCCGCGACGCCATCAGCCAGGCCAACAAGCGGCACGGCACCTGGAAGATCCAGCTGAACGCCACCTCCGTCACCCACAAGCCCAACGCCATCCAGATGGCTCTCTCCGTCTGCGAGGACCTCATCTCCAGCCAGGTAGGCGCGGGTCCGGTCCCCCACCCAGGGCTCAGCCACCCTCCTCTTGCCCTAACCCTCCCTCCCCTTCCACAGGCGGGCAAGCAAGGGAGAGGGGGCAATGCCTCGGAGCCTCAGGAGCCAAGGGGCAGGGGGGGGGGTGCTGGCGGCAGCAGTGGGACCCTTTCCAGAAAGCATCCCAAAGCCCCTTCTACTCCTCCTCCTCCTCCTCCTCCTCCTCCTCTGCCCCACCCCAGGATGAGCTGTGTGGGCATAATAGGGGGAAACGGGGGGGGGATCAATCTGGCTCACATAATGCGCCAAGACGGGCACGGGCATATCAATGTGCTTGCATCTGGAGGCGGCTCTTGCAGGGCTGAGGGGGGCTGAAATGGCAGGGAAACCACCCAATGGGAAGGGGAAAGCGCTTCGCCCGCCGCCCCCACTTGCTTCGTGGCATCACTCGGGAGCAAGCGCTCCCCCCAATCAAAAAGTCTTTTCCCCCCCAGGCCTCCCTGCATTCTTGAACCTGGCGTGCACACCCAACCCAAAGCAGTTGGACTTCTGTGGGCACAAACACAAGCTTTCTCACAAACGGGGAGGACCCAAAAATTACACATGCACATCCCTTAAAGGTCTTCAGGTGGACAGTTTTCCCTCTTAGAAAATTTAGTCCAGAAATTTAACACTGGATTAAAAATTTAGGGGACACGGAATGTGCCCTCAAGGCCAATAGGCTTTCTTCTTAGAGAGGAGGACGGGGACCTTGTTCCAGGCAACTGTCCTCCCGGCCAACTGTCTCCACAAGCTTGCTTCCCCCCCCCTTTGCTGGAAAAGAGGGGGGAGGCAATTGGGTGTAATTCTTGAAGCTCCCCCACCCCGAAAACAGCAGATTAACCGGACAGTCAACTGCCTGCCTGCCTTGAATCCCAGGGTATCCCAACCCGCCTCTCCCAGGGTCCACTCTGCCTCTTTTCTTTTTCACAACCTAAGGGCCGCTTTGCTTCCATGGACCCTGAATTCGCTTGTAACTGCCAAAGAAGCCCACCCAGCCAGCAGGCCAGGAAAGGCCCTCCCAGAGAGCCCAGGAGGGACCTAGCAGAGGCCCTCTGTGGAGCCAGGATCCAACAGAAGGACACGAAGCAGAAAGACCAGGAGGACTCAGATGCCGTCACTGAGGATCTGACAAGCCAGATACCACGGAAGGGCTCAAAGAAGCAGTTCTGGTGAAATAAAGTTCCTCGCCTCACAGCTGAATAACCAAACGGCGGCAAAGGGGCAAACTCTAAAAATATATAGGCAGGGCTAAAGAAGGACCTCTTCCCGCAGAGCAAAGTTTGCCCGCCTGAGGAGATGAGGAGGAGAAATTCCCAAAGGAAAAGGCCATCAGCAGAGCCGCCTCTGCCTGCCCATGTTCTGGGCAGGATGCCTGTGAAGGCCGGTTGCTAGGGAACGCAAGTGGGAGCAGCAGACCCCCCCCTTCTGCTCCTGAGCTCCTCACAGGCACCCAGTCAGAAGGGTTGATTCGGTGGGCCTTAAATGAAGGGCGGAAGGACGACCACAGCAGCAGATGGAGGCAATGGGAAAGCCAGGAAGGGAGCAGGCAGGGAAGGCGATGCTCTGCCTTTCACGCAGCACCAGGAAGTGCTTGCAGGGCGAAGAAGCGGGACTTATGACTGCAGCAGGCACTGCCTTTGGGTAAGGCTTGAGCATCGCTCAGCTCCCGAGCCTCCGTTTGGCCTCCTGCAGCCAGCCCTCTCCCCTTTTTTACAGGGAACTGGAGACATGAGCAGAGCCCTTGCTCTTCCCTCCAACACGGGAAGACTCAGATCAAAGGCTTTCCTATAGTCCTGCAATCTGCCTGTGGGCTGGGTAAACTAGTGGTTTAACTTGGTCAATAGTCATTGCGACGATCACGGGTAGTTCTAAACCTAATTTATGTATTATGCTAATTGTGGACTATTTTCAAAATTGGTTCCCCAAAGCAGCTGGATAGTGTACATCACAGAAAGAAAAAATCTGCATACATTTGTTAATTCGGCCCATTGCAGATCAAGGGGACCATGCTCGATGGTCAGGCAAATGCTAGCCGTTGTTACGCACAGGCTCCATGGATTTGAACAGCCCTTCTTCCCTTTGGGTTGGGGCCAATTTTTTCCCCCAGAGAAGAAAGGCCAGCCCTCACTTTTATTCTTGCACTGCCTGCTCCCCTTGCAACTCCCCCCTCCCTCCCTCTCCCTCTCTTTTCCAGAATCTCAACTGACTCTTTCACCTGAAACAGCCCTCAGAGAGAAATTATACTTCCATACTAAATGTACAGTTAAATAAATCACATTATCTAGCCTGCCTGTTCCACAGGGACTCCTTTTGACCTTGCAAATGCCTTGGAAAGATTCATGCGAGTCAGCAGAAGCAAAACAGCCTCAGGAAAGCTGACGCTTGTCTTGCAGGGCAGTTTGCAATCCGGGCTAGGAAGCATCTACTCCACCAGCTGCCCCAGTCTCCTGCCCCGGGGGAGTTACTGTCCAAAACCCACCCGGTGGGCACCTGTTGGTGAAGTTGATTTTACCATCAGCTGCCAGAATTTTATCCTAAGGATAACACTTATCTCCCAAATCATGCCAGGAGATAATAAAATACTGATTTGTTTTAATATTAGAGGGCTAATGAAACTGAATTTCACAGTTAATACCAATTCTGTCTGGCTTCCCCTAATGTGGTCCCTGAATTAATTCAGTTTTCTGAATTTGCATAAAACACTAAAGTACAGCTTGCTGCTGTTTCTAGCCAAAAAAGTGCTGGAAGCAATATTTTAAAATCCCAAATACCTCTACAATCAAGCAAAAAAGCTTTGAATGGAAGAGTAATTCCACAATAAAAAGCAACTCACCACATTTCAGAGATGCGGCCTGTCCTGCCCCAAAGAGGCACCCAGGAGATCCTCTTCTTTCACGGGGTGGCTGACCAAGAAGGGTGCAGGTAGTCCTTGACTTACAACCACGATTGTGCCTGGAATTTAGGTTGCTAAGTGAGAATTTGTTAGTTTTGCCTTGTCTTGCCACATTTGCTAAGTGAATCCCTGCAGATGTTAAATTTCACCAGTCCAGCTGCTCGCATTAGACACTGGGGCAGGGTTTCCTGGGGCCCCACATATAAACCAGTGTTGGTGTGCTGTGTCCTCCAGGTGTATGCCATTCTAGTGAGCCACCCACCAGCGCCAAATGACCACTTGACCCCAACACCGGTGTCATACACAGCTGGGTTCTATCGGATTCCTGTCCTTGGGCTGACGACTCGCATGTCCATATATTCAGATAAGGTAATGGACTCGCTCATTATTATCACGACTAATACCGCTGATATTATTACTGCCAATAGTAGTGCACATATATTATGGTGAGAGGTACAATATTCTCCCGCTTCTTGGGTTTGTTGTAATTTAAGTCCCTTGTTTCTTGTCTGTCCCCTGGGAACAATTCTGAGCCCCCTTTTACACAACATCCCTGGCTCCCTGTAGTCTTCGCTTCTCCACGACAAACGTGCCACCAACTTTTTTTTTATAAGTTTTTTCCTTCCAAGCCCTCTGTCATCTTGACTGCTGTCTTCTAGACATGCCGATGACTTTCCTATTCCTAGAACTCAGAGTACATAAGACAGGCCATTGAAAGACAAATGAAGAACAGTCCTTGCTTAGTGTCTGAGGATAATCTATAGACTTTCGGTGGAAACAGGATCTTTTCAAAAGCAATTAAGCTTTAGAAAGATTTAACAGGGCAAAGTAAAAGGCTTACAAACTAGTCCCTGGAGAACAAAATAAAATCCTGGAGTTTGTTTTCTGGATTCCCTACAAAGAAAACTACATCACCTTCCAACCACCCAACGATGTATCCCGTTTCCTTTCAGACTTTTGGTTTGCTCCTGTCTTTCGTTTGCAGAGTATCCACCTGTCCTTCCTACGCACGGTGCCCCCCTACTCCCACCAGTCCAACGTTTGGTTTGAGATGATGCGCTTTTACAAGTGGAACCACATCATCCTCATTGTCAGTGATGACCACGAAGGGCGAGCTGCCCAAAAGAAGCTGGAGACCCTCTTGGAAGAGAAGGAATCCAAGGTCAGTATCCCCCACACTCTGCTGCCTACACTTCTGTGGATACAGCAGAACCTTTAAAAGTCTCAGGCGTGTTGTCTGTACGTAGAGCCTCCTCGTATGTAAAACACCTCTTTTCTTCCCATTGTGAACACGACTAACATTATGCTGTAAGCATCAGCGGTGTCTCTTGAATAGTACCTAACGAAGCTTTGTACTCTTATTCATTTCACTTGCTTTACCATGGTCGAAAACCTTCTGCATAAAAAAAAGAGAGAAAACGAAACCGGCAACAACTGTGAAATGAGGAGAAACATAACCTGGAGCTTTGCAAATCCCCGTCTCTCAATGGCGAGTGTGCTGATAGGAAAAAGCTCTCTAGAGTAGCAAGGAAGCTACCCCAAGGCCTCCTGGTCTCTTGTGGGCCAGCTGGGGGTCAGAGAGGGAGGGAGGGAGGGAGGGAGAGAGAGAAAGAGAGAGAGAGAGAGAGAGAGGGAGGAGGGGAGGGAGGGAGGGAGAGAGAGAGAGAGGGAGAGAGAGAAAAGAAAAAGAAAGAAAGAAAGAAAGAAAGAAAGAAAAAAGAAAGAAAGAAAGAAAGAAAGAAAGAAAGAAAGAAAGAAAGAGGAGGGTAAATGGCTAGCTCAGCATCTCAGGTCCTCACACGGCTTGACCCTTCCGTGGACTCCTGGTTCCTACTGGCTCAGTCTTGTTAGAATATTTGGGGTCAGGCTTGGCCTTGGACGGCAGCAGGATCCTTGCCATGTTAATTTGGCTCTCCTTGGGATACTTCCAGTGACTTTCACTCCCCAGCTTCCTTACATGCCTTTCTGCCACACCCGTTCTCCCTAAGCCTCTTGTACTTTTCTTCCAAGCTCTGATCCCTTTCTACAAGAATTTATACTGCCAATCAATTTGCATCCTAAGACTGACACACCCTCTTTCCTAATCAAATTCAGTGAAGCTTAGAAAGACCCCCTTCCTCCTCCCTAAAAAGCATAAGACACAATGCTGACACAATGGCTTGTAAGGCAAAAGTTTTGTTCCCTATTAAAAAAAAAAAGTAAATTATGGTGCAGATGTACTATAGTCTTTTTCTATTAGTTGCTATTAACCTGCACCGGCTTCGTAGTCTTCACTGGAGTACCCTGCTAATAGTTACCAGACAGAGAAATCAGAGCCGTTTTCCCTCTGCAGAAGGTTCCCTCAGGCCTAGGCAGAGCTATGCATCATCAAATAGACCTCTCTGCACACACAGACGACTAGTAGAGCAGGCAGAACTCTAGCTAGGAATTGCTGCTTTTCTATGTGTTGGTTGGTTCCCCTTTAATAAATGGACTCTCAATGATCAGACCCTACCCTCGCCCAGAAACGCAAAAATCCTGCAAATGTCTAAGGGCTGCCACCACCACCACCCCCTGTTCTGACATGCCAGTCAGGAGCCACCCAGGGCTCTCTTTACAAGCTGACCTACATAGATGAGTCTGATTCCTGGGCACTGAATCCTGTTTGATCTGGCAATGCTGGCAAAAAGTGCCTTAAGACCCTCTGGGCAAATGACGTGGGTCTTATCAGATGCTCCCTACAGTGGATTCTGCAGGTTTTTTGGGGAGATGTGATAAAATGAAAGAGGCTGCTCTAGAGTAGGTCTCTCTCTCTCTCTTCTGTCACTGAGTCACCCAGAGGCTTCAGACAGATAAGCCCCTCTCCCAGCTCTGAAGAGCAGCAGCAGCAGCAGCAGCAACAGAGTCAGTTGCACTCCAAGTGTTTTCTGTCCAATCTGCTCTCCAGCCGTCAGCAGCCACATCGTGTAGAGAAGCAGGACGGTAGCACTGGTAACCAATCACGCTAACAGCTATAACTTTTTATCCAGGCAAAACTAAGAACAAGACAGATCCAATGACTCCCTGTGGACAGGCAGGGTCCAGAACACGGCTCTGCCTTGGATCAGAAAAAGTTGTTCATTCAGACCAAGCCTCAGTCTTGAAGTCACTTTGAATGGCACACAGAATCTTTCATCTGTATGAAAAGGTCTTATTTAAAACTTTGTTTCCATACCCGATCAAAGCAACTTAACCAAACCAAAGCCGCTATAAACTAAACCTATAGTTGCCCCAAGTTTAGAAAATGCTCTTCCAGATTAGAACTGAGAGGATACGGTATTTTTAAAGAATTTCCCAACTTCTACCAGAGGCTCAAGCGGCAGGACAGAACGCCAGAGCAGCGGGCCCTGCAAAGACTGGGGGACCCCCCCCCTTTTTTTTTGCTACTTTGATTCATAGTCCTAGCCAGGATTGTTCAAAAGGATGGCTTAATTCAGTGGCCTCTAGCCAGTCCCAAAATGGACTGCCAGCCACCTTCGTGATTGCTCTGAGACACTGACTGTTCTCTAATGGGATGTGGCTCGGCTCAGGGGTCCCACCAGAAGCCCTGGCCATGATACATGGCATGGCACTTTAATGGCTTTAATGTACTCTTCATAAAAGAGGGGTCAGACCAATCATGCAGCGGGGGGCGCGGTGAGTGGGTCGGTCAGTCACCCTAGTTCAGTAGATGCTCCATTTTCAGAGCCAGGGTCCTTGTGAACACTGGGACCAGCTGCACAGCAGGACGGTTGCCTTAGGAGTTTCAGACATGCCTGATTTTTTTGGGGGGGGGACTCCCTTCAGTTTATTCCACCAAAGCTCTTCTCCTGCTTCCCTCTCTCTCTCCTGGAGAAAGTGATGAGAAGGAATGTTCCATTTCATCTTTGATACATTTATGCATCCACCGCTCTTACATCTGCCTGCATCTGGCCTCCTTTTGACCCCTGAGGTCTCATGGGATGTCTGCACAGCCATCTGGAAAGCTGCTTATCCAGGTCAGCTAGCCAGCTATCCAATCTTCTCCTCTGGCTTTCCTGGCTTCCAAATGGATGTGGGTCCGGGACAAGTGATCATGGTTGGCTCATAGTTCAGGTTGTACGTGCCTATTATGGAAACTAATACTGGCCATATACTCCAAAGCTTGACAGCGAGAAAGATGGAGAAAAGATGTAGCAAGCGAGAGGGGAGGCAAGACGGAGCCAGGTTCAGCTGGGGAGGGGCCAGATGCCCCCCCCCCTCCTACTGGGTTTTGCGTGCTCCAGGGTTATAGCATTCCCTTTTCACAAACAGTGGAGAAAGAGTTGGATATTGGATTGCTTTACTACACGTCATTTTTTTCAACTGTTTATAATATTCTTCTGTGTCTACATATTTTTTCTGTGCACATTATTCATCAGAGTAAAAAAAGGAACTATGACAGCCTCGAACAACTATCCTATGACAGCAAGCGAGGACCCAAGGTATATTTGCATGGACAATGCACGCCGCCCACCAACCTAACTAGCAAAATGATGAACTTGGCCACAGGCACAAGGAAAAATTAATTAAAAATCAGAATCAGAATCAAAAAATATGTACCAAGCAAGCGAGCAAACTCCATGTTTTTTGGTAGCACGTTATTTTATGTTGGGATAAGTTTTGTTTGACCCTGAGAATGGAAATGTAGCAAGCCAGCCCTGGAAATATTTGTTTTGGAGACATGCATGTAAAGCAATAATCAACTTGCAAGTATTTTTTTTCTTTCTTTCTTGAAAAATTGAACCAATCCCTTCCTGCTGTCCTATCCTTTCCTCTTCCCCCTCCACCCCCTGCCAAAAAGAAATGGTTCCTTGGTGTGAAACTTTCACTTTGATTCCCCACGCTCCCAAGATGAACCTTGTGCATTTTCAAAAATTTTGAGTTCCCCTGGTTTATTGTTTGGTTTTGTTTTTCTGAAAAACAACGCTGGTTTGAGTTTTCAATTGCATTGCAAATAAACAAATACGTATCTATGATACTTATACATGCCTTTTTTCCTCTTTTCTCTACAAATGCACGCCTCTCTTTGAGTCTTGAGTGACTGCATGCACGGTGCAAAAGTTTTTAAAAATTAAAGAGAAAACAGTATCGATTAATATCAAAGAAAGGGGAAAAAACCGTAAGAGAAAAAGAAAAGAAAGAAAAAAAAGAGAAAAGAAAAGAAAAATAACTTCCCTCTGCCCTTCCTTTCCATGCCTAGCAGTGCTTTGAAAGAGGGATGGAATTCTCTTTCCTAAAAAGCATGGTTCTGACTCAGCTCTGCGGCCTTTGCACTAATCCCTCTCGCTCACACCAATTGCAGGCTGAGAAGGTGCTTCAGTTCGAACCAGGAACAAAAAATGTGACTTCACTGCTGCTGGAAGCCAAGGAATTGGAGGCTCGGGTGATTATCCTCTCCGCAAGGTAAGCCCTGAACCTAACTGCCTGCCTTTCAGCATTCAGGCCTCACGCGCAGATGCTGGGACCGGTGGGTCCAACGATGTCCCAGCCCCTTATTCCTGGGGGCCCTTTGGTCCTACAGCACTGGGAAGCAGTAGACGCGAGGTAAATGAAACACCAGATGGGAATCCAGTCAAAGTCAGATTGGTTCCTGGCACAGTCACAAGGGAAACCCCAGGCCCACAGACAGGACAGGAAAAAGCCGCACACCTGGCCAGGCGACAACAGCGTAGCGTCCCAACCGAGGAGCTATAGAATGGGAGCAGCCCCACCGGGACCAGCAACGCCATCCTTCCAGCAAGCAGACCCTTTGGCTTCCTTTCGGGATTCACTCCCCCCCCCGCAGAGCATGAGGGGGGGGGAGGCCTTCTATTCCCCCTGCCCTCTCTCTCTCCCCTCACCCGTAGCCCAGCCTGGGACGCCCCCTGCCTAACATCAGTTCGGTCTTGATCTGACACCACGATGTTCTCTGCCCTGAGGCAAGGAACAGCCAGATGCCCAGGCATGGCACGGGTGCCAGTGGGGCTCGTGAGGCAGACCAGGGAGAGTAGTCCTCTGCCAGCAGTGGTCACGGCTGCCCAAAGAGCTGCTGCATCACCAAGGACGGTGTCAAGATCGCAGGAACTGATAGCCCCCACCCCCTGCTTCACTGCTCAGACCACGCCTGGAATATCCTGTCCAGTGCTGGTCATCCCAATACCAGGAGGATCCTGGAAGGGATGCTGATCAAGGCAACTGATGGTGATGGTGAGGGCCTTCCAAAGAGTAGCTAAAGGAAGTGGGTGTGGTTGGCCTGGAGGAAGTTTCCAATAGGTGAAGGGCGTCCCAGAGAAGAGGGGTGCGCACATTCTCCACAATGCCTGAGGACGGGGCCGGAAGCAGTAGTGGGGGGAGCTTTACAGAGGGAGAACCAAGCTCAACATAAGGAGGAATTTCCTGACCTATCATGTGGAGGAATAGTCTGCCACCTGGAGCTACGGGTGGTCCATCACTGGAGGATTTCAAGCCAAGGTTGGGCAGCCATTGGTCTAGGATGGCCTGAGGATTCCTGCCCTGGGAAGGGGGATGGACTAGAAGACCTCCAAGGGATCTTCCAACTGTAGACAATGACTCTATGATTCCAAGGTCTGGATTTCTACCAGAGTTAAAATTAAAGTTACCCACTGTTTAAAGTCCAAACTTATTTAGAAGAAGTGTATTGCAATCCTCTGCACATTTACTCAGAATGAAGCCCCATTGTATTTAATAAGCTTACGTTCTAAAAATGTAGGAGTATAGTTCCAGTTACTTAAGCATGTTAACTCCAACTCTAAAATTCTAAATTGAGGACCCAAGTTTTCTATCACCTCTTAAGATTATTACATAAATAAATAAATTACTAAATAAAATACACAATTTCACACTTTGCAGTGATTGGCACAATTTATGCAGCACCTTCACCCATCCAGCAACTTTGCACTGACTGAACGGAGAACTGGAGGCTGGGAACACAAAGGCTCTCCCACAAACAGCTGGAGGGCTCCCCCTCAGAGAAACCTCTGGGGGGTCCAAACATTTGTGGGTTTGCACTGGTAATTCTCCTGGGTTTCCAACCTGTCTTTTGCTTCTTTCCACAAAGTGTTAAGAGGAAGGTCCTCCAGGGAGCCTCCCGCCTTCCCCAATTCAGGAAATGTTCCAAGAGAATGCGGAGTCTTGAGGAATCTTTGCTGCCCGCTCCCCAAACGGGGCCATTTCCCTAAACTGCACCATTTGCTCCTGATGCTCTGCCTCACTGGGGTCACTGACCATCCGATCATTTGTCCATTTGGCCAGACGGTTTGTGAAAGCGTTCTTCCCTAATGCCTCCCTCCTGAAGTGGGCCCCGGCCAGACAAATAGACGGCCCCGGCCTTGGACTCCTCCTGCCTTCTGCACTGGGGAAGCCTTCAGGAGCTCCCCTCTCCCCCTGGGGTCTCCACAAAGGATTCGCTCGGCAGAAGAGTCCATAGAGTTGGGGGAGCATTAAGGAAGGGCAAGAGACTTCTTGCCAGTGCCATCTCTCTTCTCTTCCAGTGAGGATGATGCCACCACCGTATATATGGCAGCAGCCAAAGAAAACATGACTGGTCCGGGTTACGTATGGCTGGTGGGAGAAAGGGAGATCTCGGGCAACGCCTTGCGCAACGCGCCAGAAGGTACCCATCCTGTTCTGACTATCCTCTCAAGCTACACCGCTTCTGCTGACGCTTCTGAGAGAATTTACAAGGGGGGGGGGGGTCAGCAGTAATGTGGCAAACCGGAGCAGTGCCGTGCCCAGTGTGGACAGAATGACTTCACAGAGAGATTCGTCTTCCCCTTTTATAGTTGTAAAAATTAAGGGCATCTAATTTCACGTGGGAAGGAATTAAGGCGAGGCTCAGAGACTCCCAGTCTGAAGGCAGCCCCACTCCGAGAGGCGGATTCTGGGGATAAATGGCTCAGGATCGCTGTCCTCGGTGCCTCCAGAGGCACTACTGGCCAGCGGAAACGGAGCTCCCCCCCCCCCGAGGGCTCTTCTGGATCTCTTCTCTTGGACCATTTCAGGACTGATTGGTCTACAGCTCATGAACGGGAAGAATGAATCTGCTCACATTAGAGACGCAGTTGCTGTGGTGGCCCAGGCTGTGCACGACTTGTTTGAGAAAGAGAACATCACCGACCCTCCCCGGGGATGTGTGGGGAACACTAACATCTGGAAGACGGGGCCCCTCTTCAAAAGGTAGCAGCGGTTCTCCTGCCCCTGCTCTTCAGGCCGGGGCCAGCAGCAAAGGCTGGTTGCTGTGGGCCAAGCAAATGCTCCGGGAGGAGAGGGAGGGCCGGCTCCCGAGGCTTTGCCCAACGGAGTGCTCACCTATGTGCCCAAGACCACCCAGAGTGCTTCCCCTGGACTCTCCTGAGAAGCAAAGGGAGCTGAAACGCTGCTGCCTTGAGGCCATGCAGCCTGCAAAGCCTAAAGGAGACTACTTCTCTTAGGGTGCTGATGCAGACCAAATATGCAGAAGGCGTGACTGGCAGGGTGGAGTTTAATGAAGACGGGGACAGAAAATATGCCAACTATAGTGTCATGAATCTCCAGAACAACAAGCTGGTGCAGGTCGGAGTCTACAACGGGAGCCACGTACGTGCAGCCAATGTCTTGACTCTTCCAATCCCTTCAGCTCAGCTCTGAAAAGGAAGGCCCTGAATTTGGGGCCTCCTGTGAATTTCCAAAGAATAAAATGCGGCGTAGACACGTATAGTGCCACAGCTAAAAGGAAAAAAGCGTGTCCTGCCCGCCTGTAATTAGTGGCTGCAGCCTCTGCCCAGTATAGCTGGAGCAGTTTTTAACCATCCTGCCTGAATTGCACCTTCACAGTTTCTGCCCAATGACCGAAAGATCGTCTGGCCGGGAGGAGAAACAGAAACACCGCAGGGCTACGAGATGTCCACAAAACTAAAGGTAGGCTCTGGGGAAAGGTGTGCGTTGTCTCACTTCCAATAGGAGAATTAAAATCGAGAGCCTTCGGGGAGGGGGAATGACTGCCCCACCTCTGACAAAGCACCGACGCCTAGAGGAGTTGCCTCTGCCGCCTTCACCAAACAGGAAGAAACGGAGGGAGAGCAGCCAAGGGCTGTCCCTGACAGTTGGTGGGCATGTGTGTGGGTGTGTGTGGGTGTGTGTTGTGGCTGCCGCCTTCCCTGTTGAACCTTTCTCCTCCCAAGCAGCCTTTCTGGCCTCTCTTTCCACAGATAGTCACCATCCACCAGGAGCCATTTGTCTACGTGAAGCCCACCCTGGCCGATGGGAAGTGCAAACCGCTGCTCAACAGCACGGGGGGACTGGTGCAGCAGGTGCTCTGTACGGGGCCCAACGAGACCATGCCAGGTGAACCCCTCCGCCCGGAAGCTAAGTCTCTCCCCCAAAGATCCACCACTTCCGGGTGGAGGCCTGTGGCCCCCACTCTCTCTGCACTGGCAAAAGTTGCTGCCAGGAACTTAATGAGTTGAATAGTGAGGGACCCCCGGGGTCCTTTTTTTATTTGCTTCCACTAATTTTCAATAGTATTTCACTTTTCTTTGGAGCTAAAAGTAGGGTAATTGTAGTGCTTTAAACCAACACGCAAAATATTTACATGGCTGTCAAATATCCTCCCAGGAGCCCAGTTCTGCCAACATCTGCCTGCCTTTATTCCCACCTTTTTCTTAGCTGCATCACAAAGGGAAACCGGAAGTAGCTAAACCCAGAGTCGGATCTTCAGACTGTGAAGGGCTTATCTTGTTTCTTTCTTTCCTCATTGCAACACAGGACGCCCCAGTGTAATGTTATGTTGCTATGGCTTCTGCATCGACTTACTCATCAAGCTTGCAAAGACCATGAATTTTACCTACGAAGTACATCTAGTGGGTGACGGTAAATTTGGCACACAAGAACGGGTAAGAATACTGCCTTTCTCTCAGTCTGATGTAAGTGAGCCAAAACATTCGAAGTGGGCAATAGTTCTCAATTTGCTCTGAATCTATAACTCTTGCTTATTTTTCTTTCCATTAAAAAAAGGGGTGGTGTAAGTCTGTTACCGTCATGGCCAACCACCGTGCCTCAACATCTGGAGGTTGTACCCTGTCAGCATTCAACCATGTTCAGACTGCTACAGGACTAGTTTCAGCGTACAGAGAGGGTCAGGGGTAAATGACGTGGTTTAAGCCCAAAGAAGGACCAGCTTCCAGAACAAGTGGATAAAGAACCTAAAGCAAGGCAAGGGATCCCGTGCTGCGAGCAGGCAGGGGTTTATAGCAAGCAGCTCGCACGGAGGTGAGGTGTTGTAGAGCCTTATAGATTCCAAACAGGATGTGGTGGCAGCTAGGTGAACTACCAAGGTATTACTGGCATACAGATATTAACCTACCTGGTTTGGAGAAGGTGATGCAGCCGGCATTCTCCAAAGAAAGGAAGCTGAAGGTCTTGACTTGAAATCCCACTTAACTTGCAGCCGCCAGCTTGAGCAACTGATCTGAAGTTCAGAAAAGGAATGGAGGAAGGGGGTGTTAGCTGCATCCGTTCTCCAAGGCCAAGGGATCCCAAAATTTCTACCAGATCAAAGATTACCAGCAGTAGAGAATACCTATAGCACTGGGTTGATCTGTTGATCCCGAGTGCTCTCTGAGCTTGGAGGTTTGCTTGCAGGAGCTTCACTGGTATACTCCCAAGTTGGGACATCTGCGAGAAACGACCAAGCTCAGACAGCACCCAGGACTCTACAGATCGAACACTCTTAAGGCTTACTAGCAACTGCAGTTCCCTTCTCTGCTCAGAGTTCCAGACTCACCTCGCAGGGAGGAGCTCAGGCATTCACTGAAGAGCTGAAAAGGCTTTTTTGTGGACACACCTGTGCAACGGAATGACCTTGGCCGGGGCTCTAATTGCAGGTGAACAACAGCAACAAGAAGGAGTGGAATGGGATGATGGGGGAGCTGCTGAGTGGCCAGGCTGACATGATCGTGGCACCATTAACCATTAACAACGAGCGCGCTCAGTACATTGAGTTTTCCAAGCCTTTTAAGTATCAAGGACTGACCATCCTCGTCAAGAAGGTAATGCACGAACATCGGTAGGGCAAAATGGTAGCCAGGACTACGAAGAGCAGTGGGAGCGAATCCCAGGCCCTGAGTTAGGATGGAAAGACGGAGCCCTGAGCCAAACGGCCTGGGTCAAGGGTCAACCGCTGGCTGCCCTGGAGGCAACAGCTGCCTCCTCTGAAAGGAAGCCATCCTTGTCCAATGACACCCAGCCACAGTTAATTGTAATCCTAACAATAAGTGAAGGGGAGATGCAGAAATGAAATTCAACAGAAACCTCCCTGACAGGGTGAGGAAGGTCCTTTTTCTTTCCAGCCGATTATGCTAAACATGCCTCTTGAAATGGACCCCCCATGTTTGGGGGCAGCCAATCCCTGAATTTCTCTTGCTCTGTGAAGGGACAACAGTGGCAGGGTAAGGTTTTCACTTTCCTGCCCTGTTTACGGCACTGGAGTGGCAGTGATGGGAAACCAGCTTAGGCCGCGTTGGTCTGATCCACACCGTTTTAAGCAGATCTCCTGATTCTGACTGGAGACTGCCCACTCATTCCAGGCTTTTTCCACCCGTGATTTCCTTCTGTGTTACAGGAAATTCCCCGCAGCACCCTGGATTCATTCATGCAGCCATTCCAGAGCACTCTGTGGCTCCTGGTGGGGCTGTCGGTACACGTGGTGGCCGTTATGTTATATCTGCTGGACCGTTTCAGGTACCTGAATACTCACAACGGGGAGGGAGACACAGCGTGTGTTTGGGGGGGGAGGGGACTGGCCATGAAAAGTCTCTGCAAATGGAGATACTGGGATCCAGAAAGTTGACAATATGTTGCTCAAAATGGAAAATCCAAAAGCCATCACAATCAATCCACTGAGCAGTCATTTAACCATCTCAGGATATGCTTCCTTTGCATGGTTTTTGCTGCATCCAGTTGGAGGGAGGGGCAGGGAAATCCTGAAGTTTATATTCTGCTCCAACCCTTTGAGTTATCTTCCCAGTTGGAAGGTCTAAGTACCCATTTCTGAGGATTTGGTAATCCCCAGACTTTCAGGCAGTAAAATGAACCAGAACCCGCTCGTGAACGGACAGGCACTTCCCTGCCGATAGTGCTAGAGATAGGGCAGAACCCAGCCAAGCGTTGTGGCTTGCTCTTTTGCAGTCCCTTTGGCCGATTTAAAGTGAACAGCGAAGAAGAGGAAGAGGACGCCCTGACCCTTTCATCGGCCATGTGGTTTTCCTGGGGGGTCCTTCTGAATTCTGGCATTGGAGAAGGTGAGCCCCAGACACCCTGGGAAGGAAGATCCTCAAAACTGCCGCTTTGAGCCCTCAGAGGGCAGAATCCATTCCTCAGAGGGGAAAGACGAGGCATGAGTAGGAGGATCTCCCTAGGAATGCCTCCCGTGATCTTGAGTCTTTTGGGTCGTTAAGTTCCATGTCAACCACAGGAAAAACTTTCTGTCCTTCACCCTCCAACTTCAACAGAGACTTTTTTCTGCTCCCTTTGCTCTGCCAGGTGCCCCAAGAAGTTTCTCAGCTCGGATCCTTGGCATGGTCTGGGCTGGTTTCGCCATGATTATCGTGGCCTCCTACACTGCCAACCTGGCTGCTTTCCTGGTTTTAGACAGACCGGAGGAACGAATCACTGGCATCAACGACCCTCGGGTAATCACCTCCAAACAGACATCCAGCTCGGCGGGCGGCCTGTGACTCGGGAGATGGCACTCAAACACTTCAGTGCATAGAACCAGAAAGAGGTTCCAGAAAGAGAGGGTGTGGTTCTAATGATCACTACAAGAGAAACGCAAAGCAGGCGTGGTCAGTAAGGAAGTCTCCACAGCTCTGATCATCCAGTATAGCCCTGGTTCAGATTTGATGGAGGGCCAAGGGGGGGGGGGAAGCCAAGAGGATAAAATCTTCTTGTTCTTGTTTTCCAGTTGCGAAACCCTTCGGATAAGTTCATCTACGCCACAGTGAAGCAGAGCTCGGTAGACATTTATTTCCGGAGGCAGGTGGAGCTGAGCACCATGTACCGGCACATGGAGAAACACAATTATGAAAGCGCCGCCGAAGCCATCCAGGCTGTTCGAGACAAGTAAGTGTTTGCCTGCAGAGCTCTCCTGTCTCTCCTACGGCTTCTTCTCTCAGCTCTTTTTCCTGGAGTAAATGATGGATCCGTTGCGTTCATAATGCTCAGAGCACTCTGGCTCTTCCAACGGGGCCCGTCCAGCTGCCTTTAGAGTAGAAGAGCTCTGCTGGATTGGGAAGGGAAGCTCGCCCAGTCCCCCCCTCCCCCGACTCAAGGAACCAGGCCAGGCACCGATGCTCTCTGCAGCCAGTTTAAGCCCACCGATTTGGCCACACAGCAGAGGCAGCCGGCTGCAGTGGGTTCCCTCCACAGAAACGAGCAGGCAGGCGGTTCCCTCTTCTGATCGGTGGACACGGAGGGCAACTGGCCGAGTTTCTCTGCGAGGCAGCCCAGTTTTTCATGATGCCTTGTTTCAATCTCTTCCATATTTACTTTATGGCTCTTCTTCCGTCTCCACCACAGCAAGCTCCACGCCTTCATCTGGGACTCGGCTGTACTGGAATTTGAAGCCTCACAGAAGTGTGACCTGGTGACTACAGGGGAGCTTTTCTTCCGCTCCGGCTTCGGCATCGGAATGCGCAAAGACAGTCCCTGGAAGCAGAACGTCTCCCTGGCCATCCTCAAGTCTGTATTCTCTATCTGGGGGGGAGCGGGGGGGGAGAGTGGAGGGCTTTGGGAAGGGGGTGGGTAGGATCAAAGGCCAGGATGCTTCTTTGAGCGTTGTGGGAAAGACAATAGAAAGACAACATGCCCCTCAAAACACTAGACTTCCTAGAGTTCAGTAACTGACAAATTCCTGTGTCAGAGCCCCAAGCACCTGCCACTCTGGGCTATTCACTCAGGGTTCTCACTCAGACCGGTTTAAACATCCAAGCGGTGGCTAAATGGCAGCAGAGAGTCACTGTTTCTGTACTTCCTTGCTTCACTCACTGCAACCCTCTGCCCTTGCCTCCGTCCAGCCCACTTCTGTTGACTACGTGGCCTGTGGCTGGATAAGTCAATCCATCCTCATACAAGGAACATGGAAGAGTTTTCAGCAATCCTATAAAAACACTGTGGTAGACCTCTTGGGGGCGGGGGGGAGGAGAAGTCCTTACTGGGAAGAAAGAGAAAAGAGTACGGGGGGGGGGACAGTTTAATTCTTTCCCCATTGGAAAGCTTAAACCGGGACAGAGAAGTGAATCATCACCGCCCCCCTCTTCTGCTTCCAGCCTCCATGAGAATGGCTTTATGGAAGAACTTGACAAGACTTGGGTGAGATATCAGGAGTGCGATTCCCGCAGCAATGCTCCGGCAACACTCACCTTCGAAAACATGGCAGGTAACTTGGTTGCTTCCTACCTGCTTCACAATCCCCTATTTTTTCTTTACACTTCCCCAAACTTTTCAAAAAGGTCTTCTTAATTACTTCCAATTCAATGTGTGTTTGACTTTAGTAACATGTAAGCTGTTAGCACACAAGATACTGACTCTGGTTGTAGTGAATTAACCTTTTCCTGCATCAGCATAATACTCTGAAAAACAAACTAACCAATTGAACTGGATTTGCGCAATTGAAGTCCTATCCATTCAAAAGCTGAGCAGTATTAACAAATGTGTGACTATAGCCACAAGGTTTTCAACTGGCAGGGTTATATGTACAGGGTGGCAGTGGGGGTGAGGCAGAACCCCGCTGTGGTGCACCCAAAGACCCAATAGTGGAACTGGCCCAGATTTGGTCTTTCAATTCCATATTCCTGGGGAAAGGGAAGCGAGCCCACGCTACCCTCAAGTTATCCTTTAGATCCAAGAGCCAGACTTGGATAGAAGGCTGGCCGGGCCATCGGCCACGTGGAAAAGCGGAACGGAGGGTTCAGTCTGGCTGGGGGCCACGGCCTCGGTGGGAGAATGGCCAGCTTCCAAGACTGCCTGACTGAAGCCATCTGCAGCTCCTGGCAGCCTGGAAGCTGGAGCCAGGAGGGGGCTATAATACCCCTAGCTGAGCCGTGGAACTACCTGACAAAATGCGGCTTTGCTTTAATGCCGCTCACCACGGAGCAAACCGTTTCTTGAGTTTGGCTCTATACCGACGAGGAGGCCCAAACGCTTCGGCCAGGAAAGAAAATCTCTGAAAGCCGAACCCCTTTTCTACCTGGGAAGCGTTGCCAGGGATGCTCCCCCCCCTGTCCTCCTGCCGCTCAGAGCAGCAGCCCAGCCAGAGGCAGCGGCGGGAGTCCTGGGCTGGGACCGCGGATCTGGAAACCTGGGCAAGATCAGACCTCCTCACGGAGGCCCGAGAGGGGCGTTCCCAAAGGGCAGAAGGAGGAGGATGGAAGGGAGCTGGAGAAGGCACTGCAGCCTCTGCCCAGGTGTCTCCTTTGGGTTAACCTTCCTGCTTGTTTCAGGTGTATTCATGCTGGTGGCTGGAGGTATTGTGGCCGGGATATTTTTAATATTCATAGAAATAGCATACAAAAGGCATAAAGACGCCCGGAGGAAACAGATGCAACTGGCGTTCGCGGCAGTTAATGTGTGGCGGAAAAACCTGCAGGTAGGACAGACCGTTTTTAGAGCAACACCTCCAAAACAGGTGCGGTTTTTTTTGTTTCCCATTACTTCACCCAATCAGTGACTACCGTGCTACGTGGGACGCCTAGGGGCCTCCCTTCCCGCTTGCCCCTGACAGCAGCAGCAGCAGCAGCAATTCCACGGGCGGGGGGGGAAGGGGGGAGGGTTACACACACCACGTCCCAAGCCCATCTCCTGCTTTCTGGGGAGGCCAGTGGGGCACTCTGCACATCCAGAGATCGGACAGGCCAGGGCCCCTCAGCCAGCCTTCTCTTCCCTGGCTGTGGCCCAACTGCTGCGCTTGCCGGCAGTGCCCTTCCCCCCTCCCCCCGTTTCTGTTCCACCCATTCAGAGGTCCAATGCTGGGAAAGATGGTGGCACCGTAAGGCTGCGATCGGGAGCACTTCCAGGAAGAAGGCCTCAGACAATCCAGCCTTGTGGTGCACGGCCTCCAATTGCATGGCTAAAGATATTCACACAACCAATGGCCCCATTCTGGCATCCCCTGTTGTCAGGAGAGGCGAGTAGAAGAGATGGAAATCTTTCCTGACCCCCCCATTCACCCCATTCAGGCCCCAGAGGCAACCTTTCAAACAAACACAGACCTGCGCACTCACATCTTGCCTATCCTTTCACGTTCCAGCAAAATGGATCCAATCAGTGGCTCACGTCACTGGTGTTTTCCCCCCACGGTCTGTACAGGGCTTAAGCCAGAATCTGCCAGAGCCCCCTTGCAAGCCTCTTCATGCCAACCCTACCTGTAAAACCAACTGGGTTCTGGCCATCCAATCGGAATGCCTGTTACTGGGGGGGACGGGACACCAGCAGCCACCTCCAGTATAGCAGACCAGGGCACCCAGCCGCTGGTTTCCGCACCGTTTCTTAAAAACAGTGTGCCCACAGGCCAACCCCCATTTCACAGAGAAGCCCAAGGGAAGCGGTTTCAGAGCAATACCCTTTTCTTTGCAAGGCAGCCCAAAGAAGCCCACTGTACCGAGAAGGGAAAAGGGAAGAGAGTCTGGCTGGCCCATTTCCAAGGAGACATTGTAGAGACCTGCACAGCTCCCCCCCCACACACACACACCTCCCTCCCTTCCCAGCCCCACCCCGCAGCCGTGCAGAAGGGGTTAATCCAGAACAAGAGCACTTTAGTCACTGCCATTTTTCACTTGCCAACTTTCTAGAAAAAGTCCTGCCCTGGGTCTTGGGTGGGGGGGGGGAAGAACCTGTGGGGCGGTCACTCAAGCATGCCACCCCAGGGGTGATAAGTAAACAGAGAACGATGCTAAGAGATCCGTTTGACAATGTAAGACTTTTTCACAGGAGGATTCCTCAGACCACTAGTATCTGGTACATTGCTAGAAGGTAGGCAAGTGGAAAGATTTCTTTCTTCAAGAAAAAAAAAATACAAAAAGCAAATATATCTATAACTTCTTTTGTTTGGTTTTATTTTGCTACCTGGGGAAATCACAGTTTTGCCATGGCCGTTTCTGGCAATGCCATGGGAAGGAAAAAAAAAAAAGAAAAGAAAAGAAAAGAAAACTCAAAACGAAACCCCTCCCCTCCCCTCCCCTCCCCTCCTCTTGCTAGCTTTTCTTTTCCTGTGCATGCTTGTCGGAGTCACGGAGGATCACTGGAAAGGAGGAGTAAATGTATCCCCCGCGCATGCTCCATGCATCAGCGGGATACATTTTTGGTCACCCCACCGCGGGCTGGTAGAACCACACCTGGTTTCACCTTTTCCTCTCCCAAAGGGGTGAAAGAGAAAAAGAATGGGAAGAATTCGGATCGGCTGGGCTGCCCCACTCACCTGCCCCACAAGAAAAGCAAGTTCCCCACGGTGCTGACCAGGTTTGACTGCCTACCACCCAACAGCTGTCTTTTTTTCCCCCTCTTCATTCTGTTTCTTTGAGTTCCTGGCATCCTTAAATATCATCCAGAATTGCAATGCTTTGCTTATTCCCTTTCTTTTCCTTGCTTAAGTTGTAATTTCAAGAGATTTTTGTTCTTTTATTTTTTTATTTTATTTTATGTTGAAAAACAGTTCAAGTTTTACGCCAAGCATCACTGAAATTTTTGGAATACCTTTTTTTTAACATACAATGACCTTCTCTTCCAATGCAGTCCTCTCTCTCTCTTGTGGCCGTAGGATTCACCTTCAGAAAAGGCCCCGAGCATTTTTATTTAGTGGTAGGTGAAAGTGTCTCACCTCTCTCTCTCTAGTTAGACCAGCCGTGACAGGAAGGAAGGAAGGAAGGAAGGAAGGAAGGAAGGAAGGGGCAGGGAGTGAGATGTTCCTCTAGGGACCCAGGATGCCGTGTCCTTGTTTCTCATGGGGAGGCCAGTGGAGCAGCCAAGGCCTCTGGAATGTATAAAATGCAGCAAAAACCCAGCTGCTGACTCTGCCCACTGTGCCCATCTTAAGGGGATCCTTTCCGCCACATCTCACCTTAGTTCCAAAGGAGACCTTCAGACTGATCGGCCCTCGCGTAATTCCCAAGCCAAGTGTCAGGGCCATGTGTATGTCTGGGACTGAGAGCCATCAGGAGATGGTAGGCATTGTCTTGGCCATAGAAGACAGACAAGAGACATATCCAGGATCGTGACATGGGGCTGTGTTCATCTAGGTGTAGAGATCCAAGCCACCCAATGGAGATCTAATCGCTTATATACATATTCATTTTAGGATAGAAAAAGTGGTAGAGCAGAACCAGACCCTAAAAAGAAAGCCACTTTTAGGTCCATCACCTCTACCCTGGCCTCCAGCTTCAAGAGACGTAGGTCATCCAAAGACACGGTAAGAGGAAGAAAAACAACTGTCCCTCTTTCTTTTTTCTCACTCTCTCTTTCTTCTTCTACCATCCCATCAACTACCACACACCCATCCCGAAGCTGCCCGTGTGACCTACCATAGCCTCATGTCCGTCAAGAGTCAGTTGGTCGGTCGGTCAGTCAGTCAGTCAGTCAGTCAGTCAGTCAGTCCCGTGTCCCTTGGCAACTTTCAAAGCCGAAGAGGGCAAAGGAGGTTTTGAATGCTTTGTAGTGTTCTGTAAAGAGTTTGGAGATAACTGCAATGAGTTTCTTGTTCTAATTTACTTACTTATTTATTTATTTATTTTGAATTCTTTTCTTTCATTCTGTTTAGAATTGTGGTTTAAGTTTTGCTCACTTTACTGATATCAACAAAAATCAGCTTCCCCTGCCCCCCGTTTTCTGAGTGTTCCTGTACCTGTTTGTCCCTATATGCTTAAAAGCGGTTACCGACCCCTCCTGCACTCACAGTCCCCCCCCTATAAATTCTACCAATCTGGGCAATGTCTCACCTCACGCTGAGCCATACGTTCATCATATTCTTTACTTGTAACTTCTGTTTGTGTTTTTCAAAAGAAAGAGGACATTTTTAAATTTTGTTTTACTTTATTTTTTGTGTAAATTAAGTGGCAACAATAGTTTCTGCTTGTAACACTCTGGACTGAGTTGTGCAGGCTGGCAATCAAATAATTCTTTGGAGTGATAGAGCTCTAGAAAGCAAATGTTGTTGCTGTGTGTTGGTGTGTATCTCCCCCAAACCCTAGCAATCCAGCTCACTTAGGAAAAATGCTCCTCTGTTTTAAACCCAAATATCCTGCCAAAGGAGAGACTCATGGGAACGCTTGTTCTAAGCTTTTTGCTTTTCAACATCCCCTCCCCCCCCCCAGTGAGGTAGGGGCACCAGGTTGCATGTACAAACGGAACAAGAGAGGGCATCTCCCATCTGCATGACCTGGACTGGATCCCACGTACTGCATGTTTAAATGTTTGGGACGGAGGAAATGGAATTTCTCTTTTCTGCTCTGCAGCACAACACAAGGAATTGGCTCACGAAACCATTTCTTGCAGTGAGCTTAAATAAAACTTTTAAATACATATTTATTTTTAATTAAAATTTCCTTTGAAGGGAGGGTATAGCTCATAAAGAGTGTTTTCTGAACTGCAGGAAGCTACTAGGAAGGTGGCGACACCCCCCCCCCCAGCCCTCCCCCCAGGGTAAGGCAGGAAGAGCGAGAATGTTTCCCTGCTTTCTGTAGACTGGCAGGTTCAGGGCTGGGTTTGGCCGTGGAACACAAAAACCTGAACCGATAGAAAAAGAGAAAAACTCGGGACCTGCAAAAGGACATTCAGATCCCAAAACTACCTCTGTCAAATACACCCTGAAGTAAAGCTCTTTCCTTCACGGGTGCCATTTGTCCTTTGCTAAGGACAAATGAGCGCAGTGTAGGTAGGGCTAGGGTGCTGTCGGTGCTCCCCCAGGATGAGCGGGGCCAGGATGCTGGCCCTGTTTTGCCTTAGGGAGAGTTTCAGCTCCAACCCTGCCCCTCAGAGCAGTCCCTAGCCCCGGTTGCTTTAAACGGCCTCCTTCCACAGGGTCCGCAAAGCTCTTGGGGCAGCCTTCAGCACTCTGGGGCAGAGTCGGGAGCAGAAGGTCTCCTGGCCATTTCTCCCTCACAATGGATGGATAGGTACGTCCCAGGAAATAAGCCAAAACTGTGCTCCGGGCAAGGAGCCTTTTTCCCTCAAACCAAAGCCAGCTTCAAAAGCAGTCCGCCTGGGAGTTGAGCTGCCCCAGTCACTGTTCCTGCGGCTTTTTCAGGAATTGAGCAACTTGGCCGAACCTTGTGTTGGCCCACAAGACATCCACTGCCCTCTCACAGACAGCCCTAAAACCCTTTCTGTCCTAAGTGGGACAGACAGGGGAAGACGACCATAGTTTAACAGGGTGGCTTCCCCATTGCACACAGCCCCCTTCCTATTAGCACCTTAGAAAATTGTTTTTTTTTTTTTTGAGGGGCTGAGACTGGATTTTCCTCCCAATCTGTGGTTAAAATTCCACTCAGCTCAGCCCTGGGGAAAGCTTTCATGGGCACCTTTCAGCATCAAGTTCTCAACGCCCAGAGGCCAAACTCACCCAATTGCTCCACTGGCACCCAAGTCTCCTGCCTGGGGCTCCTCCAGCAGAAGCAGCTGACTTTGGCAAACGGGCTTTGAGTCACCCTTTGGGTAGCCTCCAGCTGCAACAGCAGATCAGGAAAGGTGGGGCCGGCTGAACATTTCCTGGGAGAGAAAATGGGCAGCACATTAATTCCTGTCAAAACTGGAGCCAGGAAAACACTGCCTGACCCAAAGTTTGGGGGAGGCCTGCACCTCTTCCAAATCACAGGCCAGTCTTGCCCTAACCACTCACCACCATCACCCCGCTAAAACCTCTGCAAGCAGGTCCCTGTCCTCCACTTGAAGCCGGCATGGCCCCTGCTGGGGGGGGGGACAGCTTCCAGAGGAGGCGCCCGCGGTGTGCTTCCCCACGGACAGCATCTTCCCGCTGTCTCCCTCCCTCTCCCTGCTCAAAATGCAAAATGGCGGCTGGCCAAGGTAGCCCTCCCCCGCCCTTTAAGACAGGTGCACTGCTGCCCCAGTGAAGGGGACGTTCCTGCCCAGGGAATCAGGCTGGCTTGAGGGGGACCCAGAGACAGCCTGGCATCATCAGTACGGCCGGGCCAGGCTCCAAGCGGTGGCCTTCCCCTCAAGCAGGCCTGGGGGCTTTGGATGCTGGGAAGACCCCCCTGAAACCTTCTTCCTTCCACTGAGACAGCCCACAGCCACCCCCCTTCCTGATTGTCTCCCTTCCCCTGCCAGGTCTTTAGCACGAGGACTGAAGGGGCTTTGTCAGGGGAGGGGGCAAAAGGTTACACCTGCCAGGGAGGTAAAGCCCAACCAAAAGGGCCCCTCCCTCTGTAAGGGGGTGGTGGCTCTGCCTGAATGTCCATCAAACCCCCCACAAGGGGACCGAAGGCAGGGCCCCCATGACCCGCTCTTGGGAGGGGCGTTATGCGGCCCCGGGGCGCATAACCTGGCGCTCCCTTCCTCTGCCCGGGCCTCTCTGGGGAAGGCCCAGTGCCCTTCTCCTTGAGGGAAGTGAGCCCCACTTGGCAGGGGCCAGGCAGGCCAGGCCTCTGGCAAATGAGCCCTGCGGAGGTCCAGATCCCCTCCTCAGAGCGCAGGGCTGTGCAATTTTGGCAGGCCCCCAGGGCTAGCTTTGTTTGCCAAGGGCCTCTGCAAGAAGAGAGCCTGGCATCTGCAGGGCAGCGCCTATCTGGGCCTTGCCTTGCCAAAGCTGGCCAAGCCTGTTCTGCTCATAGCAAACAAATAAAAGCAGGGGAAAGCCTTACGCTTTGCAGCCAAGCCTTCCGTTCAATTCCAGCCATCCAATCCTGGAGGCCGGCCTAGAGTTTTTAAGGCAGTCCGAGTTGCGTCCAGTGCCAGCCTCTGGGTGAGACTGCCATCAGCAATCCGTTGGTCCCAGCAAGGACAGGGCAGCCCTTCCCTCCTGGAGTCTTAGGACGACAGCTTTGCCATCCGAGGATCCACCTTGGAGAGCAGGATTTTGTCCCCTGGGGTCAAAGGGCATTTCCAGTTCTAGGCTTCCCAGAGGGGATGGGCTGGAGATGGTCTTGAGAAGGAGGGAAGGGCTGACGGCCGTTGGTTATGCCTGTAAACATCTTTATAAACAGGGTTCCCTCTTCCATCCTACTAGAATGCAGGATCAGCGGATCAACACCGATCCGTGTGGCAGTTCTGGGCAGGGGAAAAATGCCACAAAATTAGCCCGTAGCTTTCCCAGCCATGAGGTCTCATGGCCACCTCTAGTTCAGACCGCTTTCAGCCCAAAGACCAAGAGAGGCCACAAAGCAGAGCCCTCCCAGTGGCGATTATGCTGGGGGCATCGACTCCACCAGGTTTCCCAAGTTTCTGTCCAGCCACGATAGGAACCGGAGGCCGGATTGGGCAGGTTGGACTGGATCTAATCCAGTGAACCTTCAGGGCTTTCGTTAGGGATAAAATCAGCATCAACCAGGGAGCAGTCTCTGCAACAAGAAACAGGCACCCCAGCTAGCTGAGTGGGCAGATGGGTGGCTGCGTTTGGGGACCGTGAAAGGCCAGGCAGGTGAAAAATCCTTCCTTTTAGACTCCAGTCTTGAGCGAAGAAGATGGACAGGTCTACGTGCGATGAGGGAAAGGGACATTCTTGATGGGTTGCTCAGGCTTCTCGAAGATCAAATGCTGCAGTCTGTTGGGTGGGCAAGGTGGCATCCTGTGGGGCACCGTGGTGAGGGTCGATGCTCTTTGCACAGCTGGGTTTTGCCTTTAACTCTGGAACTCTGCAGCCAATGCCTCTGTAATAGACAATGTGCCATTCATGCGCCTGCTCCCTACAGACAGCCCCGCGATGTCACCACGCCCAGCATCCGTGAGCTGCAGTGCAGATAGCCCTGTAGAGAGTCCCGGCTTCAGGAGCTGCTCAGCACAGGGTGGGCTCTTGTCCTGAATGTTGATTGACTTTTGTCCTGTACCCACGTCCTGTATTACGGGGGTCTGTAACGGGCAAGGAGCGTGAGGGCCCAGGCAGGGGCGAAGGGCAGGCCCCAGAGACCCCGGGAGGGGGGCGCCAGGAGGAGGGGGGCAGAAGGGGAAGGGGGGGCACGAGCATTCTCTGAAATGTCCCCCGCCTACAGAGAAGAGATGCTGATTGGCCGGAAGTTGGTGGAACTCCAGGGCTGTCATGGCTGAAACGTGCCTGGAGGGGATTAGTTGCTCTCCAGGTGGTTGAACCGGAGGGCCGCAGAGGCTGTCATGTAACACGTCCACCCACCCCACCACCCTGTCCCAGGCGGGGATCCCTGAGAGATGATGCAGGTCTATGCTGTCCTGGCAGGCAGGTGGGGAAGGCGCAAGCAGGACCAGGAGGGAAGAGCAGCGGTCCAGCTTGGGGGGACCAACGACTGCAGCTCTGCCGCCAGGCAAGGAGCGGCAAAGGAGGCCACCGGCTTCCCGCTAGGGCGGCATTCCCTTCGCATTCAGCTCATGTGTGCCGATCATGCTTTTTTAAAAAAGGGTGGCTACAACAGCATTTTTTTAAAATCTCTGAGGCAATTTGAAGTTTATTTTTGCCACAAACTATTGCTACGGGCAAGCAAGTAGCTTTGAACTCTCTAATAAATGTCCTACTAATAAATTGAGGGGATCTGCTACTGTTCCCCAAAAGGTTTTCCTCAGAGAAACCAAACAAGCTGAGTGGGCTTTCCTAGGCCATTCTGGCCCTGCCTCCCTCCCTCCCTCCCTCCCTCCTCCAGCAGGGACAGCAGAGACCCTTTCAGAGGCCTTGCCTCCACATGGACCTCTCCCTTAGCAATTACCTTCCCAATTTATCATAAACCAAGCTGACTGAGTTGCCTCGTTCTTTACTCACTGGCCACTGAAGCCACATCCTAGGGTGCTAAAACTAAGAGGGAGAGGAAAGTGCCACCAATTCCCGGTGGCTCTGGGGAGAGATTTTGGGTCCAGCCCTGGCCAGCTTCTCTCCGTGGGCTGCATCCTGTGCAGGGGACCTTCGACCGGCACTCAGCATGCACAGCCTGTGGCCCAAAGCGAGGGGCAGAGACGGCCCGTGCATCATCCCTGAGCGATCTCCCACCAGGACGTGCGTCTCAATTGCATCAGCTGCTCGCAGCCAACCCCTCCCCGCCTAACATCTGGCCCGTCTGTCTGTCTGTTTGTCTCTTGCAGCAGTATCACCCCACAGACATCACTGGGCAACTCAATCTCTCTGACCCCTCGGTCAGCACCGTGGTGTGAGATCTCGGGACGGACCAATGGAGACTCTGAGGGCCCTTCTGGAGACACCAAAGGGAAGCCTTTGACATCCACCCACGGCGTCTGCATTGCTTTCTTCCCTCCAGCCCTGGTAGATCCCAGCTTTCTCCAAGGGTGACCAATCTCGTGGCCTTGGCGTGAACTACTGAAGATGAGGCCTGGGAGCACCTCCGTTCTTTCTAGAGTGTGGCCTCTATTTACTTCTCCTCCGAGACACGCAAAGAAGGTAGTTCTGAGGGAGACCCCCCACCACCACCACGGAGAGGCTGGATGGCACATTCAGTGAAGTGGACTGGGTCTCTTGCTGAGGGGAAGAGTCTCGTCATCATTACATGCATGCACAGAACCTTTCACGCCCATCTTACTTCACACGACTGTTCCCAGACTGTATCAGGGGGCCGTAAAGAGGCCCCCCAGCCCCACAGCTCACGATTCTCTATGTTTATATATAGCATTCTGTAAAAAAGGCCTGTCGGTCCATCACCTCCCACCCAGAGAGCCCTGTGGCCTTTTTTTGGCTGCCACCGTGAAGGTGCCGGTGTGAGGTTTTATCTGATGTAGGTGTGTGTTTGTGTGTGTGGGGGGGAGGGAAATCTCCCCTGTCTCTCTGTTTTGACTATTTCTTATCTCATTTGTGAAACAGAGTTTTAGCCAACTCCTTCCACACCTCCCACATGGTAAAGCAACATCTCCGGTAGGATGGGAAGTTCCCAGCTTCTCTGCAACTCTTTGCTGGCTGCCTATCCAAACCTCCAGCTCTGCTCCTCCTCTGCAGAAGTGCTTTCCAGTCTCTGCCCCGGATGGATACTGGCGCTAACCCCTTTGCTCCTCTCCTCTCCTGGGCTGGGGACAGGGGGAGCCTTAGAGCTGTTCCTCTGTTTTCACAGGGTTTATGGCTGCAACCATGGAGGTTTCTAACAAGCTTCCTCTGGCAAACAGGCACTTGCCCAAGATCTGCCAGCCTTTTAAACAGAGAGGGTCCTGATTCTTCCCTCCCCTGGCCCCAATATGGCGCTCCTCAGAACCAATGATCCTGCGGTCCAGCATGTGCCACTGCCTTCTGGAAAGAAAGCCAGGCCTTCTGACTCTCCAGCTGAGAGTTATGTTACTTCCAGAGCTTCCATCTCTGGCCCTTGAGCCTCACAATATTTTCATTCTGCTACTCCGGAGGCTCCCTGCCATGTAACACTGGCCTGTCTTCTAGGATGGCTGTGAGTTTGACTGAGGTAACCCTATAAAAATACCCTTCAGATGTTAAACTAGAACCCCAAATTCATTTTTGCACTCGTGGGTGCAGAATCTCAATCCAGATGAAGACAATCCCACTTGCCCAAAGATTATCCTCTCTATTGAGAAGCAGAAGCACCTTCAACCTGCTCCCCTCCATGCCTCAAGGTCAGAGCTCAAGCCCAGGGCAGGCTGCAGGCAGAAGGGGCCGGCATGGAGGTTGGGCAGTTCTGAGCCAGAGAGGCCAGAGTGTTGCTCTGACGCTGCCAGCGCTTCCGAGAGTCAGCAAACCCAGGCTGCATGGTTCACGTTGCAACTGCCCAGGGCCCCCCACGATGGTTAGCAGAGCAGCGGCCAATTTGGGATGCATCCCAAGAACTCCAAACTTGGAGGAGGCACCTCAACAAGCAACCACCGCCTGCTCCTCCTACTGGATCATTCCCCCCCCCCCGCCATGTACCCTTCAATCCGAATCCTAATTTACGAAGCTGGCCTGCTTGCACCCACACACAGATTCTGTACATGCTTACTCAGAAGTAGGGCCCACTGCATTCACTGGGACCTTCTCTTGGGTAAGTAGAGATGGAACTGTATTTCTAACCAGGCTTTTTGAAATAAAGCATATGACTTTGGACAGGGGCCCAGAGCGGCACTGAAGAAGCAGTGTTCAGTAATTAAGAGTTATCGTGTATAGTTCTGCTATGGGTTTTGGTAATAGTGAATTTAAATCAATTAATTTAAAATGACATACTCTTGCCTGTGTGTATATGCATGTGAACCTGCAAGGACACTCCTTCTTTATTTAAATTCCCAGCAAAGAGGAAAAATAAGAGGCAGCAGCCTATATTTTCCTTCCTCACAAAGACTCGCCAGAAATGTCTTTGCCCCTTACAGGCACTGGGAAAGGCTGGCTGGTAGAGGGGCTCCCGATTCCCCAGACACAGCCCCGTTTAGGGAGCTTTTAGAAGTGAGCTGCAAGGGGGCCCCCTACCACGGCCACTCTTGAATTCTTGGATGGTTCGGCAAAAACAAATGCTGGAAATACCTGACAGGTTGCAGTAGCTGGATGCACAGAGGCCATCTGAGCTGGAGCTGGAAGTCCCCTGCAGAGGCTGGAGAAGACACCCCACTGAAGGCCCAGCAGGAGCAGAAGGGTTGCCTGATGAAAGAAAGGAAAGGAAAGGAAAGGAAAGGAAGGGAAGGGAGGGGGAGGGGAGGGGAGGGGAGGGGAGGAAGGAAGGAAGGAAGGAAGGAAGGAAGGAAGGAAGGAAGGAAGGAAGGAAGGAAGGAAGGAAGGAAAGAAAGAAGGAAGGAAGGAAAGAAGGAAAGCAGGCCTGGCTGGCTTGCTTACTCGCTTGCTTCTGGGGGAAAACAAGAAAGGGGCCTCTGGTAATTTTTCCCACCTGAAGAAATGATGGTGAGACAAAGCAGGAGATGGGATTGGATCTCCCAGATCACGTGACTCCGACCACCAGGAAGGCACTGGATTTCAGCATCTGTATCATGGCTGGAAGGGCTGATGCCAAGATGTGGCCTAGCTGGAGCTTTGCTGTTTCCGATAAGGGGCACCATTTTTTGGCTTCAGAAAACAAACACAAACATCTGCCACATAGCCCCATCCAACCAGCCCAACCAAAGTGCTTATTGGGAGGCAGGGGGACGTTCTCTGACTGCCAGTCTAGAAGGCGGGCTGCTCCCTGAGCCACTCCGAGGTAGGCGAGCCAATGGCCGGCAGCCGTCCCGTCCCTCCAGGGCAGTCAGTACCTGTTGGGCCAGGCTCCAGCAAGGAGGGGAGGCACGGAGGGCCCTCCGGTTCCCTTGACAAGCTGGGCTTCACACGGCATGGTCAGACCCCCCCCCCCCAGCTCACCCCCAGCCCAGACTAGGACTGGCTCACCTCTTGCCTTTCCCTTCCCAGGAAGAACAAGGGGAAGCCCCTGGGCCTGCGCATCATGGGCAGCGTGTTTCATAAGGGCCGGGTGTGGTGAGGGGAACCCACCTTGGTGTTCAGATGTTTCCTTCCAGCACTGCTCTGCCCATTGGGAAGCATCCTCAAAGAGGCTCTGTCCTCAGCACAGGCTGCCCCTCAGCTGCCTCCTGGCTGCCACTCACTAAATCAGGAACAACAGGGACCTCTGGCTGTGCCAGCCAGACAAAGCAGTAAAGGGCACAGCGCACAGAGCCCAGCAGAGAAGCTTCCAGGGGCACTGAGATGCCACAGTCCTCCTTGCATTGGCAGCCTTCATTTTATCTTATCTCCCTTCTTGAGGAAAACCTGTGAAGGCACCAAGCAGGGAATAGAAGGGACTATTGTTTCATGGCACTTTACTGCAAGAAATGGGAGGAGGGTGCCGTTCTTTTCAGGAAATACAAATGCAGTCTGCCACCGAGTCACATGGAAAGGATGTGGCAGCATCTGCCTGACCCTCATGCCCACCTCTGGATCCAGAAAAGAGGCACGGGCATTTCCTCCCTCGGACCACCTTTTTTACACATATGGACTGCTCTTACACCAGGGTTCCTAGATTGGCTCCTTGGATAGAGACAGATATGTACAAGCCCAAATCAAGGATCCACCCACTGGCTGAGAGAGGATTTGGGATTTTATGCACAAAACACTTGATACAGAAACGATTTCTAGAGCTATTATGCTGCAGTTCTGCTGGCAGAGACACGGGGAAAGAGTGCCGAAGGATGCTTGTTTGGGAGGGAAACCTGCTTACTGCAGGGTGGTCCCTGAGCCCCTCACCAGAGCCCTTGGTCAAATGCACGAGCCTGTCGTCCTCAGTTTCAGGCGGGCCACTGCCAGCGAGCCCAGTAGGATGCCGACACAAATGCTGGCCAGGAAAGTAGATGGGCCGATCAGGAAGAAGAACGCATAGCCGGGGAGATGCATCCGGGGCGCCTGACATCGTGCAAAGGATTCATTTCCAAGGGCCGCGATGGGATACTGGGCGAGGGACGCTTGGTGTTTGCAAGTCACTGAATTCGCCTCTGGAAGAAAGAGCAGCAGAGAGCCAGTCATGGCAAGGCCGTCTTGGTTGCAGAACTAGTGGAGAAAATGCCCAGAGGATTTCTCCACCACGTGTGCAAACCAAACTGAGCCTGGTTGAAATTATAGCGATTGTTCGAAAAGGCACACTAACAGATATCAGCTCTGCTTTTTCAGAATTAAAATGGGTTCCGAGCAGCAGAGCTGGTCCTTTTGCAAATGTTTTTCCAGGTGACCAGGGGGTGGGGGAAAGGGGGGGGAGAACCGCTCAAGCAAACAGCCCAAACCGGGGTGCTTCTTTCACCACGAAGGGCTGGGTGCAGAGCCGGGCAGAGCAGCCTCTGGGGTAACAGCCCAAACATACTGGCATGAAAGCGCCGCACTCTCAGCCAAGGAGCAGCAGGACACGGCCATGTTGCTCCGCCATCTCTGAGGCGCTCAGCTGAACAGCGAGGGCCCACGGAGGTCTAGAGGGGCTCAGGCACCGAAGGCGGCTACCCTGCCCTGGAGTGCCAGCCGGCTGCTTACCTGGAACTTTGTCCCTGTTCTTCAGCAGCCACAGGAAGAGGGGGCGGATGCCGCAGGAGCAGGTCCAGGGGTTGTCTTCGAGGGTCAGGTAAGACAAGAAGGGCAGGCTTTCCAAGAAGCCAGCCGGGAGGGAGGCCAGCGCGTTGCTGTGGACAAAGAGGGCCCTGAGATGGGGGAGGGCCCCGGGGAGCTCTGGCTCCAGCCTCAGGAGCTGGTTGTTCCCCAGTTTGAGCGTCCTCAGTCTTGGCACAGGGAGGAAGGTCTCGGGGTGCAGGAGGCTGAGGGAGTTGTCGCTCAGGTCCAGGTCCTGCAGCTCACAGAGGCCCACCAGGGCCAGGCGGTGAACGCTGCCCAGGACGTTGCTGCGAAGGCTCAGGCGGAGCAAGACTTTCTGGGCTGTAAAGGTGCCGTTCGGGAGGCTGACAATCTGGTTGTGGTCCAGCGAGAGGGCGGTGGCGTTTGTGGGCAACTGGAGAGGTACAAAACGCAGCCCACGGTCCACACAGTTTACTTTCCCCAAGGAGCAGCTGCAAACATCTGGGCAGCCGGAAGCAGGAAAGCGTGGCAAGGCGAGGAGGATGGCGAGGACTATGAGGGCTCTTCGCCTTCGGCCACCAGGGAAGCAGCGACGATCGATGGCTGGCAAGAGCAAAGCCGAGGCCGCGGGTCTCTCGGGCCGCCCACCCTCGGAGAGGCTCCCCATTGGTTCCTCAGCTCCCCCGCTTCAAGCAAGGGGAGGCTCAGGAACGGGCGAGGGTCTCCTCACTCGACAACCTTTGCTCTCAAAGGTTTACACACACCTTTCTCTGTTCGGAGCAACTTTTAGCACAACTTCTTGAGTGTGTAGTTAATTCTGAGTCAGGCTTCTGCACTTCCTTAGCAAATATTTTGACAGGCAGCCGTGCCAAGGGGCAAAGCGGCAACTTCCTTATGGGCCCAGCTGTCCTGGCCCAAGGAATCACCTGATGCCTGCCCCTCCTAGTCTGGCTACATTCTGTACACAGACGGCCTTGACACGTGCCAGGAAAGTTACTTACCGGCAGGTTTCCACTTCTCCGTCTCCCGCCAAGGAGCATCTCTGGGATGCAAAGTCTGCAAGGCACGCCAGGGTGGAACAGGCAGTGCTGATCTCAAGAAAAGCACCTCACCTAAAGTATCACAAGCTCACAGGGTCGGCCAGTCTCAGAAGCGACCAGCAGCAGCCGTTGGGGCTGGCCTGAGGGGAAATCTCTCTGTAGCAGCCAGGGTGAAGCAACTGGAGACTGTTGGTGACATCTAACAAGGAAGCCATTGTTAAAAGCTGGCGGAGTGCATGAACGCTGGGTTCGGTCCAGAGAGCCAGCAAGCAGCCATCCCTGGGAAATTTCTCCCAAACTGCCACCACCAGCCTAACGATAAGGGCGCTCTGGCAAGGTGCCCTCCGGAAATAGCCCCGTTGGGGGCCTGACCGTCTTCCCAGAGAGAGGCGCAGGAGTGCCTGGCAGCCTGTCTTCCCTCTCACAGGTGGGCAGGTGAGTAGATCCCAGGGCTGGCCCAGCTGTCAATCTTATTTCCCCTCCTCTCCCCTTTTCAGAGAAGGCCGAGATTAGCCAAGAATTCACCTTACTAAAATATTTGTCTCATTAGTGAAAACAAAGGAAAACACAAAATTCCAAAGGGATCCCAGGGGCTGGGGGGGGGGGAGAAGAGGAATTATTTGGTATAGACCACAGAGAATCCTCAGCCCACACACCACCCAGGGCCTGGGCTCCAAACTTAAAAACCACTTGTAGAAACTACTTGTCTCTATACTGTAGAGATAATTTCATGCTCGACAAAGTGACCCCCACCTTTGGGGCAAGGGTCTCACAAAACAGAAGAATCACCAAAACACAACCCTCAGCACCTCCAGAGCCTTTATTGGCCTTTTCTTTTCCATCATGGATACTTGGCGTCATCGTATATGACCTTGGAGGAGACCGCTCGGTCCCTTTCGTCCTCTGCCGTGAGATTGAGGGAATGGGACACTTGGAACTGGATCATGGTGATGAGACCAAAGTCTTCACGGTCCAGAAAGCTCAAGCTGGCCTCTGCATGGGGAAAAACCAAAGGACCCGCGGTTAATTGTCCCACTTTCACAGGGTGGGGGGATCCTATCGTGATAGCAAACTCTGGCCTGGAGCCGCAGGTGAAAGGGACCTGGGTTGGCATTTCAGGAGAGCAACAGCAGCTGCTTCCAGAGGGAGGCACCGAGCAAGACAGTGGCCAGTTTTGCCCAGGCAAAGTCCATTGAGCCCGGCTTGCGAGCAGCATCAGCGCAGCATGTTTTAGCTGAACAGAGCGGATCCCGCCTCAGAACAGAGCGGATCCCGCCATGGTGGGGTGTTTTCTCTCATGCTCCTCAGCTAACGTACCCGTGCAGACAGGGATGCAAAGGGAGCAGTTAGTCCGAGGAGTCATTTGCTGACAATCTTCCACACAGGTCTGTACAGGGACGCCACAAACTGCAGCAAGATGAACCACACGGCCAGCTTAGGGACGGGCATATTCCCGGCCATCCTCCTATTCAAGCAGGCTAAAGAGATCTGGGGCTGGCAGCTTCTATTTTCTCCAAATAAATTGATTGAAATAAACAAGATCTACCTATCTTCCCGGGTGTATTGTTGGTGGGACCCAGATATACCAAGTCAACGGAAATAGTTTTTACTCGATGGAAGAAAGCGTAAAGACCTTCTGGAAAGATAACACGGCAGAGCTGGTGGCATCTAAGAGCCAAAGGCGGAAGCTGTACCCCAATTCCCTTTTCCTAAAAGGACCTCAGCTTCCTCAGGGAAGCCCCTTCCCACCACAATGCGAGAAACACAGAGCCGGGCTTTCAATACGTGGGCTGGGTGGGAAGAAGAGCAGAACTTCTAGTCCTTTTGGAAATAAACACCAATGTTTACCTCATCGCTGTCTGCTTTCCAGACACACAGGAAGACGGCAGAGAATCCCAGAGCAGCTGCCTTGGCCGGAGAGCTCACTGGGTCTCTGCTGGCCCCCTTGGGCCCTCACCTTTCTCTGCCGTTGTCTCAAACGTGCCACTGCAGTCGCAGGCTGGCCGGGCGGCGCCTGCTGAGGACTTGTGGCAGGCCAGGCCACTAAACCCTTCCGCGCAAACTGAAAGAAAGCAGAGCCAGGCATGATGGGCAAGTGCACCAAGACCCCAGCCCCATTTCTGGAAAACACAGGGACGACTGTGGCAACTGCGGAACCCACATCAGATGAGATCCATTATTTTTCTTTTCAGATGACTCTCAAGCAGTCAGAAATTTCTGAAGCTGAGGGCAAGAGGAGAACTGCAAAATGGCAGAGGAAGGACAAGGAGGTCAGTCCCTACATCTTTTGAAACAGCTCTTAGGCCTATATACCAAACTCAGTTGGTGAAGCTGTTAACATCAATTTATGTCAGGAAGTATTACAACCTGGTTAAACACCAGCGAAGAAGAATCCCCCTGAGTTAAAGCTGGGACGTTCTGGGGCAAGCCGGCCCTCATCAGAAGGCAAATCTGTCCATGTGCCCGGGGGAGGGGGCGGCACGTACAGCCTCACAGTGAATTGTGATACTTCCGTGGGGCCTGGGGATCAAAACCTGGTCTCGGGCAGCACGTTCACCCATGACCTGAGAGAGAAGCTCATAAATGGGACGCCTCCTTTCCCCACTGAAAGAGGAAACTGTATGCCTCTGAACACAGAGCTTCCTCTCTGAAGGAGCCCCTCCTCTGCTCACGCCCGGGTGCCCACTCAGACACACTTACTGGTCCACACGTGAAGCACCGAGTCTGCTTTGGGGCTGGCCTCACCCTTGCTGCTGAGCAGGTAGAAGCCGGACCTTGTCTCCAGGACAGCCACACACACGGGGCGCTCCAGCAGGCACTCCTGCTTGGCCCCCTCCAGGGTTTCTGCAGAGGGATAGAGCAGTGACGGCTCTCCTGCCACACCGTAGCCAGTCCACTGATCAAACCACTCTGTGGCTGGGGTGGAAAGGAAGGGAACACAAGAGGGGATCAGATCAGCCAACTTGTGGAACACTGAAAAATTATTCACTATCCATTTAAAAAAAATAGCTTTTGCTTTCCAAAACTAAGAAGAAACAGCTAAAGTTGTTCACAAAACATAAATACAGTTCTTGGAAACCCTGATGCAAAGATAAACATGAACTTAGCAGACGTTCTGAAGTTTGGGAAGGTTTCACAACAGCAGCCGAGTGAGCCAAAAGGACCCTGGAAAAGGCCCACCTGGAGCCCCCACTGAGCAGCCCACCCAGGGCAGCTTCTCTGGGTCGCAACCACACAGGAAAGCCAAGAGGGAGAGCAGAAGGCAAGCAGGGGAAGGACGGAAGAGCGCCTCTGCTTCCCACACCCATCATCACCGCTCACCTTCAGGGCTCTTGCAGAGGAAGGGCCTCCCCTCCCCACAGCTGGCATCCCGCAGAAGCCCAGTTGCCGAGTCAAACCACACACAGTCCTTCCGCCCTCCGTTTCCCACGTCGTCTCGCAAGTGCCTGTTCCATGCAGAAGAGCAAAAGGGTCACAAGGGTTGGCACCCAGCCTGGAGCACCCCTTGACGGAGGGAGCACAAGCCGGCAAGATGTGGCAGCAGTGGGGTGACTGGGGTGGGAGGGGCTGAGCAGGGTGCAGTAGCTTGCCAGAACCTGATGGATGCCTCTCATTAGGGGCTCTTGTCTAGCTGCAGGACACTCGCTCCAGGGAAGGAAGTTACCCCAAGCACACCAGTCCTATGGCCACTTACTGGGCCACCTGCTTGGTGAGGGGCTCCAGGGCTGTCCAGCGAAAGACCGACTCCTCCTCCTGATCATTCAAGCCTGTCCAGAAAGCGCCTTGGAAGTGTGAACGCACCCAGTCCTGGATGGATGGATGGATGGATGGATGGGGGAAAAAGGGATCCACGGTCTCCAGATCCTCCAGGAGCAGAAGCTTTCATCTTCCCCCGCCCCCTGCCAGAACCCCCTGGCCCAAAGTGCCCTGAACCAAGGTCTCCCCGGTGGGAACCTGATGTGCCAGTAGCTACTCCTCTCCTCTCCGACTGGCTCCCCTGGGAGGAGGAAGGGGAAAGGGGAAACTCTTCCCAAAGCGCCAGAGGGGCCATGCTTGCGCAGGGAGAGGGAGCCCCCTGCAGAAGCCCCCCAGAAGCCCCTCAGAGTGTTTGGCACGGGAGGGATGTTTAGAATGTACCATCTCCTGAAGTGAGGTCAGGTACAGCAGCTCCGTCTTTCTGAACCTCCAGCAGGCCTCCTGGGCCTCTGGCCAGGCAACAGCAGAGGACGAGTCCCAGAAGTAGCAACTGCCATTCCAGTAGCTCCAGCCGGGCTCTGCTGGACAGGAACTCCGGGGTGCTGAGCCAGAGAGGAGAGAGGCCACCCCAAAGGGGCACGAGTAAAGAAAACACCCACAGTGCTGAGGATGCCCGCCAAGCCCATGTTTCGGCCCTCTTATTTCCCAAGCACTGGCTGACTGGTCCTCACCCTCCTCCTCACCAAAGGAAGTGCAGCCAATCCAAGTCCCCACCCTGGCATGCTGATGGGGAGCCGGCCTGTGATGCAGGCACGGTCACCGCGGGACCCCTCCGCCTGGGCTGTAGGGCGGCCCTGACTGCCTCGACCTCACCAGAGCCCAGCCAGCCACTTACCCCAGAGCCCCTCGCACACCCAGGGCCTGAGGTGGGAGCACGGGGAGGCAGCCACATCCGGGTCTCCCCCAGGACGAATCTCTAAGCAGCCTCCGGTCACAAGGGGCACTCCAGGGAACCTAACAGGGGAAGCAAGCGGGGTTGCGCCTGGCTTGGAGATCCCACAGAACGGCAGGTGCCATTCCCGGGGGGTGGGT